TTGCTGGCGAGCGCCTCGTATGATATGACCTGTAGGGTGTACGTGTTCATTTCTGCTTCTCCTCGGCCGGCCTATGATTTGCTGATTGCCCTGTCCAGATGGACCACAAGTCCCCCGGACGGACGCAACCTTCTTCGAATACACGACGCACACACGGAGTTTGTCGTGGGCTGTGCGTGGTCTCTATACGATGAGGGCGTTCTGGCCACAGCAAGTTGGGATAATAAGGTGGATGTCATCCGCGTATAGCAGCTCCAGGAAATATACTCCGCCAATGTACCAATCAACGCAGCAGATCCATGTGAGCCGAGCGCAGAGAATGTCGCGTGTTCCAGGATTCTAGTGGTAAGTACGGGATAATATCTCGCCTGGTGTCCCTTCTTCAAGAAAAGGGCATTCTATTGGACCTCAGGGTCTCCTACCAGAGGCATGCCGCAGACTTAAGTGCTCTTGTGTCCGGGCTATCGTGTATGGGCTGCTGTAAATTCTGTAGAGTTCAGATGGGGCTCGGCGTGCTATAGCTATCAATCGGCGGAAACGCGGAAACGGACGTCAACTTCCTGGGCATGTCGCGTCGTCATGGACTCCAGCTGCTGAGCCGCTTTGCCATCAGTTCGTGGAGGGCACCCGTGAGGGATTTTGTTGATATCGCGCTAAAATTCTCTATTCCCGGAAATACAGGCTAGCCGGAATACTACTGTGCTAATAACGTTCGAAGTGGGTAGCGACAACGTCGAGCTACATAGACGTACGAGCGAATGGCGCCGCAAATAGTCCCCGTCTCAAGGTGCTTCACGCGCAACGCGACAATCCTTTTACTGGGAAGTATGATACTCTTCAATGCCCCGCGAGCCGGGCAATGGGGGCTATACCTACATGTATTGCAACAGAACTGGATTCGCGGCGCAATACGAAAGTCAGAGGTGAGCAATCGAATATCATTGAACGCAACTACATGGCTTGTATCGCTACTATTTCGGCTCGGGACAGTCTGCACCGTGAACTAACCAATGTCTGCCGCGACTCGCTGGCACTGGAAAGCACATGCCCGAACTGATCAACCTCCACCCACACATAGTACCCTCCGTCAGTCTCATGACGCTCTGACGGGCATCAAATTGATGAGATGTGGTACACAATGGTCACTCGGCCTCACAACCTCCGATCCCCGCAAGAAACAGCGTCTTGTACGCCACGTCGCTCGAACTCCTCCTGCAAGGACCGGCGTGTTCTCTCCGAGTGTACATCGTCATGATCTGCTGCTAAAACCGTACAGCGGCGCAGGCGCGGGAAGGGGACGTCGGCTTGTGAGGCACGACGAGCCTGGATGAACTGGAGTAGATGTTGGGCCGTGTTGTAGTCGACGCGGACGTCGGTGATGTCGCGTAAGGCAACCGCAGCTTCCACCCAATAGCCATACGAAGAGTCCAGTAACTGATTGGAAGGTACGGTCACCTCCAGTGTCTGCTCTACACCGGCGGCATGAGGCACGCGCGCGCAGATGCCCCCCACTAGGTCTTCGAATATGGCCGTCGTGAAGTTACGGGCCCGCTCCGGATGATTTCTGAGTATGAGTATACGGCATGCTAGGCTGACGGTGAAAGAGGTCGATGGCGACAGCAGGGAGTAGGATCCGCGTCGCACGGGCGCGCTACATGTCATCTCGACATCCAGCCGCCCGACACGTAGAGTGACGTCGGTGAAACCTTCGCCTCGAGCGCAAGATCCTTCGAAATGCTGTGCGAGTGGGGTGACGAGCGGACAAATGTGCTCAACAACGGTGTTGGCGTTGTAGTCGCAGCGTAGCTCGATGGAAGTAGATGCCGGGAAGGATAGCTTTGCAAGCAGAGCACCGGTATTGTACATGTAACCTCCAAGGTAGAGGTGTTGAAGCGACGGTAGCTCGATCTGCCCCATGCTCGCTATCGTGTCCTTCTTCGGTATGCTCTCAAGCGTGAGACACAAAGATTCGAGCTGTTTGAGACCAGCGCTGGGCGGAAGTGGCCAAGAGTTTGTAGAGGCAATAAGTGTGAGCTCGCGAAGGTTGGTGTGCGCGAAGACTGGGCCCGGATCGGCAAAGTGGCAGTCCCTCAGCTCCAATGCATCCAGCACTCTGTTCTCTAGCAGATGGTCCGGGAAATCCAAGACGCCGTCCTCGAGGTACCGAGTTGCTTCGGGTCCGTGACGACGGTTCCGCCCGGGAGCGATGATATGCAACTTGTTGAATGTCGAGGGCAAGAGTTGAGAGGCGAGGCGAATGAAGTCAGCTAGACGTGGGGTCAGGGTTATCCTGTACCCATTAGAGCGGAGGGTGTTGCAGAGGTACGCGTAGATCCCTGTGACACGCCCACGGAGGGCGACGACCAAGCGCAACATGGGGGCGGCTTCTGGTCCTTCAGTTTGACCCGTGAAAGACCAGTGCGTATAGATGTAGGGAGGGCTTCCGTGCCCAAATCCACAATTCTCGATGAGATGTTGCTCCACGTGTATGGTGACAGGCAGAGGGGCAAACACAGTAGCGATGCGCCTTCTGATGTCCTTCTGCGACTCTTCCGGCGCAATCCTGATGGGTATCGTCCGGTTCATCGAGAACGCTACCTCGCGCCAATGCCGACATATGAAGGCTGCATTGGCCCAGCCGCGACGCGAGACCGCATCGTCGCTGATCGTGACGGTGGACGGGAGAGGAGGGGCCAGAGCGTATTCCACGTTCTTCTTCCAGCTCTTGGGCGCGACGGGAGGGATCTCGGGTAGGAAGGAGAAGATGCGTCGCAGCAGCTCTACAGGAAGTTCAGACGCGATGCTTGACATTTTGAAGGGCGTATCAATAGTCGGTGGTGCACGGCAGCAGTGACTTGTGGCGAGAGACAAGTTGGGAGGGAGGGCTTTCACAAGACCGAAGCGATAAGAGGGTCGCACTGGACGTTGCGAATAGAAGATCGAAGACGGTATGGATGGTCATGGGAGCTGAGTCTCCTACACCACGAGGCGTATCTCTGACTCGGTCGACCGCTTCAAAGAGACTATCCTGGGTACTGAAGCGCCTGGATAGCGAACGTGGCGTCATGGCGAAGTGAGCGCCAGCGCCTGTCGCACACGGCAGACACATACGCGAAGCAGTCGATTTCACACAAAATGGAGGGTATAGCTGTCGAAAACATTACAGGAGCGCATTATGGTCTGGGAGAACAAGCTTCATCGGCAGGCCGCAGCCGAGCGGAAATATCAACCTTTGACGCGACCACATGACTTTCCACTACTACTTCACAGTGCTTCTCCTGGCGTGTCAGCGGCTACAATACGCGATCCATCCGTTCATTTTGTTTACTATCATGGTACAAGTATTCATTTCGTGATCAAGCATCTCCACGTCCGTGCCAGCGAATCGACGTTTACTGTAAAGCTGTCAGTGAGATGCTTCGAAACATGACGGGCAATACTCACCGTGATGACAGTGGGCTTCTCACGGCCAAGAAGCTGCTTGAGGTTGCTGAGCTCAAGCGCGACGTCGATGAGGTCCTTGAGACCCTCAGCAGTCGGGCGCTCGAGGTCTGCCGCCGATGCGTCCTTCGCGACGTAGCGCTCGACGTACATCCGCACGGTCGCGCCATGCGAGCCTGTACCCGACAAACGCCAGACGACACGCGAACCGTCGGAGAAGGTCACGACCTGTCCCTGTTTCTTGCTGACCGAGCCATCAATAGGGTCGGTGTAGTCGAAGTTGTACGCGCCGGCGATGGTGAACTGTGCGCCGGAGGTGGCGGTGTAGGTCTTGCCCTTGAAGCCGGCCTCATCGGCAATGAACGCGTCGATAAGCTTCGTCATCTCGCCAGCGCCCTCAGAGGGGACCTCCTCGTAGTCGTAGCGAGAGAAGAACGAGCGACCGTACTTCTTGTAGTGTGCCGAGAGAAGGTCGTTGATGCCGATGAGCTTCTTCGAGTCCTTGTTCGCCGCCGCAAGGACGTTGAGCCATGCTGACAATCATTAGCTCGAGCAAACGGATAGACGCCGATGAATGTGCTACTCACCGACAATCGCCCAGATACCATCCTTCTCACGGATGTGGTCCGAGCCAGTGCCGAAGGATTCCTCACCGCAGATCGACAAGCGGCCAGCGTCCATGAGGTTACCGAAGAACTTCCAGCCTGATATGCCTCATTAGCACAATGCAGCGCAATCTTCATGCAAAGCGACGTACCCGTCGGAACCTCGAAGAACTCAACACCCTTTGCCTTAGCGACCTCATCGATAGCCTTGGAAGTAGGCATCGAGCGGGCAAGGCCCTTGATGCCACCCTTGAAGTAGGGAATAACGTGTGCCCAGTCGGCAATGATCGCGACCGAGTCGGAGGGAGTGACGAAGGCGCCCTTGCCATAGATCATGTTGCGGTCACCGTCACCGTCGCTGGCGGCGCCGAACGCGATGTTGTTCTTCTCGACAGCGTCGACGAGATCGTGCGCGTACGTCAAGTTCGGGTCCGGGTGGCCTCCGCCGAAGTCAGGCAGAGGGGTGTCGTGCATAACGGACGATTCAGGTAGCCCGAGCTCGTTAACGATAATGGCGCGGCCGTACGGGCCGGTGACACCGTGCATGCCATCGAAGAGAACCTATGATCGACGCATTCAGTTAGGCGCCCATAGATATGCAAGATCTAGGCGCGCGCTTACCTTGAAGTCGCTGGTGTGCGAGGTAAGGAAAGAGCGGATAAGGTCAAAGTCGAAGATGCCCTTGAGGAGCTCGACGTAGTCCTTGGTCGAGTCGATGATCTCGACCTTGAGCGGGCCGAACGTCGTCTCGCCGATCTTGCCGAGATCGACGGCAGGCGCCTCGAGGACCTTGTACGACTTGATCGTCTTGGTCTTCTCAAAGATCTTCTCCGTCACGTTCTCGGGAGCGGGTCCACCGTTCTCGACGTTGTACTTGATACCAAAGTCGGCGTCCGGGCCGCCGGGGTTGTGCGACGCGGTGAGCAGAATACCGCCGGTCGCCTTGAACTTGCGGATCACGTTCGATGCGGCGGGTGTTGAGAGGATGCCGTTGTGGCCGATGAAGAGCTTGGAGACGCCGTTGCCAGCCGCGATCTGCAGGATCTTCTGCACGACTTCGGGCGAGTAGTAGCGGCCGTCACCGCCGATGACGAGCGTCGCACCCTGAAGCGGAACAGCGTCGAAGATCGCCTGGACGAAGTTTTCGGTGTAGTGCTAGAGATACCCATTGGGGTCAGCCTATTGCTGCATCCAGTTGTACTTCAATCGTACCTCCTGCTGGAAGATCTTGACGCTGAAGGGCCACAAATCAGAGACGCGTCGTGATGTTGAACTTGGCAAGCGTTACGCACCGCTTGCGAAGACCAGACGTGCCAGGCTTCTGGCCGTCATATGGCTTAGTGGGGATTTCTTTGACAGACATGGTGGTGGTGGAGAACGAACAAACGTGCTGGGGCTGCTGGATCGGGTCTGCACCTTATATCGATACACGTTCGGCGGCCTCAAGGAGCGCGTTCCGGCTTCTCCCCTTCCATTCACGCATGTCTAGTACTATACAACCGCGTAAAGTACATAAGCGACTCCCTCGTGTATCGCGTATCACCGCATGGACGTCGTGCGTCGCGCGTCCAAGCGCGATCTGCCAGGTCGGGAGGCCGCCGCAGTTAGCCGCGGTTTGGTACAAGACTGACGCAGATGACGTAGGCGCCACACGGTCAAGGGCGGCCAAGTGTGTAGCCACACATCAAAGTCAACAACGTCCTACATTCGCACAGATCGCCTTCTTGTATAGTGTACACTTTGCATCTTTAGTATCATCTACACCTCATCACAGCTTCCCGCCCTGCGTCTCTTCTCCGAATGAAATTCGGAATGCCCTGCCGATGTCCTGCAGCATGTTCTGGGTGACAACACTGCGGCCCTCTCGCTCGAACGCGATGCCGCTCGTAGTGCGCGTCAAGATGCTAGCAGCCGTAGCAGCAAGTATCGGCACACGACTGGGCGGAATGCTGCCGTCGCCGAAAGCGCCAGTCTCGAAGCACTTGCCCCACGCCAGAAACGCGCCGACGGAGCCACTCAAGATATCGCCTTGCCCACCACAACGCTTGAGTCCGCCGGGTGTGTCGACAACGATAACTTCTGTCTGCTCAGGCTCATCCGTAGAGACCTTTGACGCGTCGTGTGCCGAGCTGTCTCCGGCCGCCGAAGTGTCGACCGCGATCACGTCCTTTCCTCCCTTTTGCAACACTGTCACACCGCCCAGCGCCCGCGAAACGGCCTGTGCAAGGTCCTCTGGCTTCGTCGAAGGATCGATACCCTAGGAAGGTGCATGTAGTGAGCATCGCCGCAGCACCCACGCTGTCACATATGTACGCACCGCCTGTTCGCTCAGTCGCTTGAACTCCATCACATTCGGTGTAAGCACTGCCCGGCGGTAGCCCTTGATGAGGCTGAGATCCTGTCCGGCCATGTATAGTCCGTCGGCATCTAGTACGAGGAACATTCCGTTCTCTTTTGCGATTTTCAGAGCGTCACGGGCATAGTCTTGCATGTACGGCTCGCGGCCGAGACCAGGACCGATGATGAGGACGTGTAGTCGCGCCAGAAGGCCTTTGAGCTCCTCGCGAACTTCAGACTTCGAGCTTCTCTGTCGTCAGATCTAGACTTGTATGAACTTGAACGAGGATATACGCACGCGCCCTCTTCAAGTATGGGATGTACGATCAGGTCGGGCGAGTACGACTTGATTGATCCTGCGGCGGTAGGCGAGCAGATTACATGCGAGAGATCTACGCCCTGTGCAGTGTGGGTTCATTCCGCTTCCAGTAATTCCCTCTCGTTGCGAGAAGGACTCACCACTCGTTGAGCCGAGATCGAAGCAAAGTAAGGTGCGCCCGAGTAGCTGTGTGAAGTCAGTCATGAGAGACCCGTAGGCGCACAGCTACACGTACTCTTTGGCGCCACCAAGTACGCCGACTCTTCCTACACAGGTATCCAATTATGCTTCTAGAGAAGTTCGAGGGCTACTTACCTGACTGGCCCTTGTGCAGGGTCCCGTTCAACGGCGGGATGATGGCCTTGATTTGTTCCAGAATCTGTTTCGAGACGGGCATGGTGAGGACGTGATGTAGTCGTTAGGTCTTTGGGTAGTGGTGGTGGAGGTAAGAAGTGAGGTTCATGCTGCCGCCGGTTGCGTACGCCATGTTCGTGCTCATCGAGCTGGGAGCCGCCGGCAGCGAGGCGCGCGGAGAAGGCGACGCGTGACGTCACGGACAAGCTCATCTATCTGCACCCGAGTACGCTGGTGCACGCGCTGCACTTCCTGGATGTTAGATGTCGTTAGTCGTACGACCCTTTAAAGTACAATGCCCAGGTATACATTGTATGCAGCACGAGCGTCCTCGTCTCGGATACGGGCCTAACGGAGCGAATCCCCGAGATTAGGCCACGCGACGTGCTCGGCCCGAACTCACGCGCCCCGCAGATCCTACTGTTGCTTCCAACGCTGATGAGAGCGCTTCCATACTATACCGAGTCTCTGCCCTGCCATCCAACAGCGCTTGCGCGCCCCTTCCTGTGCTTTTATCTCGGAATGGATAGGCGCCGACGATACAGGCGACCGAATACGCCGTAGCCGTCACCATGGCCAGTCTGCGATACATATGTACATTCACATCGTACAGTTGCACACATATGCGGGTATCACTGCCACTCTCGGGCTTCTCGATCGTACAAGCTACTGAGGCTACCTCGGCATTCGCTCTTCATCGGCTCTCTATCGAGAGCGCTCGGCCCGACTTCCAATTATCGGCGCTGATATTGTGTTCACCTGATGATTGTACGCTTCGACGTAGCGAGCGCGCACTGCAGTTTGGGGTTGCCCGTTCCGAGTCGGCGCTTTCTTTCTCCTTCTTCCAAAAGCAGGCGCACGCGATGCATCCTGCTTCAGCATGGGTCAGCGGTGACAGCGTCGCTGGCGAACAAACATACGGCGCATTCTCGGAGCGATACTCATATGCACGCTTGGCCGCAGAACTACGTGCTAACTCGTGGCTGCGCCCCTTATGCGGCACTACTACAGCAGAAGCCAAGCAGATGCTACGAAAATAAACGTACTCGGTGGTCACGGGTCAGGCGCGGAAGTAACAAAGGCAACAGAAGATGAACGAGAAGGTTGATGCAGATGAACAAGCCCGCGGCTGAATATGTCGATCGCTGCGAAGCTGTCTGGTGCCGGACAAGTATCACGCTATAAAGCTCAACACGCCGCTCCATTCGGTCCTCAGTGGTTGGCGCCCCTGCCGTCTCGTCCCTCTCTTCCGTATTCTCGTTGTCTGCCGCCATGCTGTCCAATCGTCTTATCTCTTCCATTCTTTACTTGATACCCCTCCTCGCTCCCTCTGTGCGCGCCATCAGCCCCTCCTTCCCCTACGGCAGCGAGAAGGTCCGCGGCGTCAACCTCGGTGGTTGGCTCGTTCTCGAGGTGCGTCGACGCGTTCCTGTTCGTATACTTCCACCGCTCATAAACCGCAGCCTTGGATCACACCCAGCCTCTTCGATGACACTGGCAATGACGCCATCGTTGACGAATGGACCTTCGGCCAGTACCAGTCCAAGTCAGTAGCCCAGTCGAAGCTGCAACAGCACTGGGATACGTGGATCACCGAGCAAGACTTCTCCGATATCGCTGCAGCCGGGTGCGTCTGCTCGTCCGTGTACCCTTTTGCAAGACACTGACGGGTGTATCTTAGCCTCAATCATGTGCGCTTGCCCATCGGCTTCTGGGCTTGGGACGTATCTGGCGGCGAGCCGTACATTCAAGGCCAACTTCCATACCTCCGAAAGGCTGTGGGATGGGCGCAAAATCACGGCCTGAAGCTCATCATTGATCTTCATGGCGCTCCCGGATCTCAGAACGGGTGAGTATAGAATGTGCTACTCTCGGTTCGGAGATATGGCGTTCAGCGTGTACTGCCGCGGTACGAAGAACGGCCGCGCTATTTCCTCTGTCGTCAAGCACCTTGGACTTAAGCTCATCGCCTCTCTTCAGTTACGACAACTCTGGCCACCGTCAAAGTGCGCCAGGATGGCAGAACGCGCAGAGCAACATAGATCGCACGAACAATGTCATCAAACAGATCGCCGCCGAGTTCATCAGCCAGGTCGACAATGTACCGATCATTGCGCCCTTGAACGAGTAGGTGCTGCTTACTCCGTGAGCATTGTCGCAGCTCTAACAGCTACGCAGACCCGCTGGATACTATAGCTCCCAACTTTTGAACGATGCTCGCCAGTACTGGATGGACTCGTATGGCAACATCCGGTACGCGTCGCTGTGCCATGTCCCGTGATCGCGTCGAACTGATGAGGATATTTCGCAGATACCCCTATGGCACCAGCCAGCAGAGCAACACCGTCGAGCTCATCCATGATGCGTTCCAAGGCATCGCGTATTGGACGGGCTTCATGCCTCCGGGTAACTTCGAGGGTGTGGCGATCGACACGCACATTTACCAGGTATTCTCGGACGCGGAGAACGCCCGGTCCAACCAAGATCATATCAATAGTGCCTGCTCGAACGGCGCGACCCTGGCGAACTCTCAACTTTGGGCGATCGTCGGTGAATGGACACCGGCTATGACGGACTGTGCCAAGTATCTGAATGGCCGCGGTGTCGGTTCGCGTTATGACGGCTCGTACGATGGCGAGACGCCTGTCGGCAGTTGCAGCGGCAAGACAGGTAGTATCTCGCAGTTGAGCAGTTCATACAAGACCTTCCTGCGCCAAATGTATGAAGCTCAGGTATGCAACTGTCCCCTTCTTTTGCTTCATGGCTCAGGCGCTAATCATCTCTATAGACGAGCACCTTTGAGCAGGGCGTTGGGTGGATCATGTGGACGTGGAAGGCAGAGAACGTGAGTCTTAAGCCGGTTTGCTCGTGTCAGGCTCGTACCAACGCTCTTCTTAGGCGGCCGACTGGACATACCAGGATGGGCTTGACGGTGGATGGATCCCGCAGAACCCCACTAACCGCCAATACCCCAACATTTGCGGTTAGGCACTTCACTCGCCTCACTTCTCAGGATACGTTCCTACTTGTATCTGAACGACGCACTCGATCACTCTCTTTTTGTACTTTGGTATACCCCTCACGAATCACGCTGTACCTCACTCGCTTTGTATACTTATAGGTACTCGGGCTCTCCTTCTACCGGATTGCAAATAGTGACACACGAGATGAAAGCTAGCCTGCTAGTCTTTTGAGAGTAGCAGTCATCAGTGTGTGACTGAGTACGTCACCGTCTCTCCCTTTCGCAGAATACGTTTGAGATTTTCTCTGAACGACGCGTGAGTAGACCCGAGGCAAACGCCAGCTCGTCCGCTCATCGACGCTATTGCGCATGTGCTCGAATTCATTGAAGGTATGTGATTGTGTACGTTTCTACATACAACACGAGATGCTCTAAAAGGTTCACGGAATGTCCTTAAATGTCCAGAGTTCCGGGTGCATTGCGAAACTGTATGCACGTTGCGATGATTCTTCCAGAAGACGAAGTATAGAACGCGGAAGGTATGAGGCGCGGCGACACAGCATGCAGGTTCGATGTACGAGACCAGGATTAGCGATGCGGTGTTCGCAATCTTCAACGGTAGTATCAGTAGGTCTTCGCTCGCAGCGGCGCATATAGATTGGGGGAGGCAATGCCACTGCAGGCGGCGCACGGGAAGTGCGTCTTTCACGCCCTTCTATCCTCAGTGATGGGGGCGCGGGTATTGCGGCTGCGGAGGTGGGCGGGGCTGAACGGGCGCACCGGTCGAGCCGGCGATAGGCCTTACTGGCTTAGCGGTAGAAGGCACGCGCCCCGATGGACGTGAATATCTGTAGACGAACAGAGACATTTGCGTGAGTTTCGACAAGATCGCGAATGGCGAGGACGACAAGAAGCGCACCCTGATGATGGTCGTGTAGCTTTGCCGCGAGTAAGGAACGGTGGAGGCTCGTCAGACTCCGACTCCGGGCCCGAACTCTCCTCCGAGCTCGAGGCGTCCTCGCCTGCAAGAGGGACACGAGCAGCGGATTGGAATGAAGGGGTAGATGGAGTAGACTGCTCGCGGTAATCATAGGCGCTGGGTCTCCTAAACGTCACGTTATCAGGACACAGAGAGAGTGGATAGGGAGATGATGCAATCGTACCAGCGAGACGGAGGGTCGGGACCGGTGAGATAGTTTTGTTCGTTGTCCTCAGGCTGGCTTAAGAGCGCCGTATTCTCGCTGGGTGCAGACACGGGCCCGGCACACTCTGTGTCCAAGCTGCGCGTGGGGCTCGAGTCACGATCGGACCGGAAGCCTAGCCACTCAAGAAGGCGAGCGAACAGCCCGATGGAGTAGGCATAGATGCGGTAGAGCATGTTGTACTGCAGGAAGGTCAACATGATTCAACGGGCGAACACGAGGCTGGAAATGATGCATACGATCGTAAAGCAGGCGCGGCGGCAGAAGGTGGTCGCAATCGGTTCCCCGTCGAGCAGGCGCATATATACCTAAGCGGTCAGTTGTTTCGATGGAATATGCACAGGATGTACAGCCTAAAGCTCAAGAAAGGACTGTGCGCTCGGGTCATGAGATGTATTTCGCAGGCGCCATACTAGAACGACTGTAGTGTTTGGAGTCTTCGAGTAGAAGCAGGAGCAGTGCCTTGTGCATTCCTCGCGTCGGAGCAGCCTTTCAAACTTCAAGCTTCAACGCTCAATGCGGTACAGCATGGATTGCACAGGACAAGGGGAAGGGCGTGTATATCGCGATGGTGGTGTATGGAGGAGAAAGTAGATGTCGGTCCGCAGGGTCAAGAACCCCAAGTGTGGGAAATATACAAGCGTGCATTCGGCGCCTGCCGCTGCACCGCAAGGGGGCCGCGTACGACGTCCGCATCGCGGGACGGCATCACTCTTCCTCCCACCACCAAGTGCGAGGAAGCTACATCTTGTACCGTGCATCTACTTCATCACCAGTTTGATCCTCGAGATGCCCCGAGTACCCGATGTCACGGACTTGCCCGTCGAACTTCTGGACCATATCTTCGCATTTCTCCCCGACCAGAGTCTGACTGGGACCTCGCATGACATAGGGTGGCTCGTTGCCACTCACGTTTGCCGCTCATGGCGCGCAATCACTCTATCGAGGAGCAGAAGGAACGTCCGAATACACCTGCGGCCTGATCGCGCTCAGCGATACATACAGGCCCGTATCCACGAGCTGTTCTTGCCATTATCCATCGCTCTCGTCGTCCACTACTACCGGTTCGACTCGACGCGTGCTCGCGAGCAAAGATATCAGTGGAAGAATACAATGGAACTCCTCAGCCTCGTCTCGGCACGCATCCACACGCTGAATATCTTTCTCGGGGATCAAGCCATGCCGCTGCACGACGAGAAGATCGAGAAACTCTTCGCGCTCGTGCTGAGAGAGCCCTCTTTGGTGGTCATGACTGTCACCTCCTCTCATTATCTGGGGAGCATGACAGCCGGGTGTGAGGTGAGGATTCCACCGGTCCCGGCGGAGCTGCAAGGTGGAGGCCTTCGTGTACTCAAGCTAGAGGGATGTCGATTGCCAGAGCAAACGGAGTTCTTTTCGACGCAACCATTGCTCGAGGAACTCAGCACTACAGTCCAGGGACCCTTAAGGCTATTCCTCTCCGATTTGCGCACGACATCTCTGACCATGTTACACTTGACTTGGATGCCGCCGAACGACTCTTTACAGAGGAACGACCCGAAAAACCCAAAAGGGATGCCCGCTCTGCTTGAGCTATCCCTGCAGTCCACGGTGAAGGGTACTCTCACATTCATGCACACCGTTCACCTCCCGGCGCTTGTATCCCTCAAGATCGTGTTCGTCCCCCAGGTTGTCTTCGGTGAAGATACCGGCGCCAAGCCGGCCACGGCCCCGCTCGTAGACTGGCTTTCGTCTCGTTTTGGAGACATCCCGGGCTGTGCTGAGATTGGCATATCGGCCACTTCACACCTGTTATGCGTGAATATGTCGTGGAGCGCACGGGACGACCGGCCGACGTACCGAAAGCTCGAAATCCGCTTTCCTCGTCTCCCCTCGCGGAACGAGGCGCCCTCGACGCATAGAGTGGAGGACTGCGAGACGTTTCTCCACAAACTATCCGAAAAGTTCGCGCCTGGCGAAACGATGCGCGTATCAGTAACCGTGGATCCGTATATGCTGCTTGATCGCAGACGCACCACGTATCCGGCACCCTTGAAGGGAACCGTGATGAAGTACATGAACAAGTTGCACAGGGCGACAAGCCTGCAACTCGGTCCGTACGCTGCCCTCATGGTTCTACCACTTGGAGGTGGATCTTTTTCGCTCTTGTCCGAACTTCGGATTCGCACTTGGGACCCTGAAGGCACGGCCTATTTGTTGGAGGGCGAGGAAGCTGCCGCCTTACAATCTAGGCGAATGCGCGCGTTTCGCCCCGAAGGCACCGATTATCGGTTGTACGAGGATCAGCTGGCCTCCTTGCGCGCTTTGGCGCGCGGAGAAGCCGAGTCACGACGTGGACGGTGTCGAGTGGAAGTGGACGGTATCGACCTCACGATACCCTCGGCTCCTAACCTTGCCGCTGGTACGGCCGAGGGGTCAGGAGTTGATCGCGTGGATTGAGTGGCATCGGTCTTTCAGTTATGGTCAGTTTGTCTTATTATGCAAGGCCGCCCTTATGTAGAGGAAGCGAGCTCTCGATGCACCAATCTGTATCCTACACTACCCGCTCTATACGTGTACTTTGCGGGTACTTGATGAGTAGGCTGATTAATCGAGACGAGGGTCGTTGACCGGAACATATATACGTATACTTGAAAGACTAATGGAACCTACGTGCAAGAGATCCAAAGGTTCACACTGAGACAAGGGCCGTAAAGTCTAGTTTGCGGCAAGAATGCCCAACGCCGCAAGATAAATACTTAGGCAGTCCGTGAGAAAGCGCCACCCGCTCCCGCGCACGCGCGCGCGATCCGGCGCGTCCTCGTTCCTCGCCCTCACCAAGGAAGCAGGCCACCTCTCTTTTCCTAGGATAAAGCCCGCAACTAGTCCATTCTCAGCTTGGAGTATCCTCTTGAGCATCATGCGCAGATTGACGGACATAACGGACCTACCCGTTGAACTTCTAGAGCACATCTTCGCCTTTCTTCCCGACCAGAGCCTGACTGGGACCTCGCACGGCATCGGATGGCTGGTCGCGGCCCACGTATGTCGCCTATGGCGCGAAATAGCTCTCTCAGCGAGCGGGAGGGTCGTTGAACTACAACTGCGGCCTGATCGGGCTCATCGAGACATTCAAGCCCTTTCCCACGAACTATTCTCCCCCCTCCCCGTCGCTCTCGTTGTCGAAGAGTATCGGCTCGATTTGACGCGCGTACCCGTGCTTAGTTCTCACTGGACGCATACATTACATATCCTCAATCTCCTCATGAACCGCGTCCAAGCACTCCACGTCAAACTTCGGCAACACACCGGCCGGCTACAGAACGAAAGGATCGAGGAGCTCCTCGCGCTTGTGCTCGTACAGCCCACGCTGAAGGCTTTGGACATCGGCTCAGACGTTGATGTGGCTTGGAGAGCCGAGCGTGAGCTGAAGCTCATGCCACTACCGGTTGAACTGCAAGGCGGAGGGCTTCGCATACTCAAGGTACAGAAATGTCGATTGCATGAACAAAGCGCGTTTCTTCCGACGCTCCGAACGCTTGAGGAGCTCAGCACCACAGTGCATGGCCCCCTACAATCATTTCTCTTCGGACTTCACGCGACATATCTGACCTCACTGCATTTGACTTGGTTGCCGCCGAGCGATCCTGCACGGAACAACGACTCGGAAGAGCCAAAAGAGATGCCTGCTCTACTTGAGCTATCTCTACAGTCACCAGTAGAGGATGCTCTCACATTCATGCACGCCATCCACTCACCAGCGCTTGTATCCCTCAAGTTCGAGTTTGTCCCCAAGCTTCGCTCTGGTACGGACACCAGCACCAGGCGGGCTACCGGTCCGCTGGTAGATTGGCTCTCGTCTCGCTTCGGAGACGTCCCGAGTTGTACTCAGGTCAACATATCGGCCACCGCTCCCATGCTACGTGTCAACATGTCATGGCGCTCATCGGTAGCACGCCTGACGCATCGGACGCTAAACATCAGCTTTCCTCGTCTCCCCACGCAGGACCTTCCGTTCTCCACTGCAAGAGTGGAGGACTGTGCGGCTTTCCTCTCTTGCCTATCTGACAAGTTTTCTGCAGTTGGCAATACGACACGCGTATCAGTCATTGCGGACCCACCTACGTTCGTACGTCGTGGACCGACTCCGTACCCGACACTGTTGAAGGAAACCGTGCTGGAGTACCTGGACAAGTTGCACAGGACATCGAGCTTGCATCTTGGTTCATACGCAGCGATCATGATCTTAACACTTCCGGTGGGATCGCTCCCGCTTTTGTCAGAGCTTCAGATTGGCTCTTCTGACCCTGGAAGCACCGCCCACAAATTGGACGAAGATCAAGTCGCTTCTTTGCGCTCCGTGGCGCACAACGAAGCTGACTTACGACGGGGAAAGTGTCGGGTAGTGTTGGATGGTGACGACCTCGCGATGCATGCCTCACGAACGGACTCTGGCCCTGCCGACGGGGCGGAGAACTCGGGAGTCGACCTCGTCGATCGAGCAGTAACGGTTCTCCATTTATGATTGTTCCATCCCCTTATGTAAGGTTTTGTTGTATGTAGATGCGAACCTTTACCTGAGTTATAGCTAGCTGAGGGCAGCTCAAGCCACCTGTAGCGCTCGAGTCACTGTCGTACTGGAAGCCTAGCCAGTAAAGAAGGCGGGAGAACAACCCAACGAGGAAGGCGCAGACGCGGTAGAACATCATACACCGCGTAAATGTCAATATGATTCAACGCAGGATCACGCGGCATGAATGGTGCGAATAGTCGGAAAGCAAGCGGATAGAGGGTGGTCGCAGGCTGCCTGCGGTCAGAGCTGACAGATGCCCATTAAGTGGGGCTGCATATATACTCATGCGGTCGGTTTCGTCAATAGAAGGTATGCACAGGATCCACAACCTAAAGCCCAGCGCAGACTGTGCGCTCGGACTAGCCGATGTATCTCGCAGGCACCATAGGACAACTGTAGTTGTGACTCGGAAATCAGTCTTCGTCGAGTATTAGAAGCGCAAGCAGTGTCTCGTGTATCTCTCGCGTCGGAACAGCCCATCGACATCGACTGGCACGCATCAAAGCATAGACTGTAAAGGTAAAAGACAAGGGCGTGTATATTGCGATGATGGAGTGCGGAGGAGATTGCAGATGTCAGTCCGCAAGGGCATACCGAGTGTGGGAAAGCGTGCATCGGCGCCTGCCGCTGCATCGCGAGGACAGCGTTTGCTCCTTGCCACCACGTCCGCGTCGCAGAGGCATCACTCTGAATCACTCTTCTTCTCACCCGCAGCTGCGAAAGAGCTGCACTCTCCTTGCCGTGCCTCCAGTCCAACGCCAGTTCGATCCTCGAGATGCGCCGGGTGACAGACATCACGGATCTGCCCGTTGAACTTCTGCAGCACATCTTCGCATCTCTCCCCGACCAGAGCTTGACTGGGCGCTCGAACGATCTAGGATGGCTCGTTGCTGCACACGTATGCCGTCTCTGGCGTAATATTGCTCTCTCAAAGAACGGGAGGGCCGTCAAAATGGAATTGCGACCCGATCGGGCCCAGCAAGACGTACAAGCCCTTTTCCACGAATTATTCTCGCCTTTACCCGTCACTCTCATTGTCGAAGAGTACCGGCTCGACTTGACACGCGCCTCCGCTCTTCACCATCATTGGACGAATACGTTACAGCTCCTCAGCCTCCTCACGAAACGCGTCCATGCGGTCTATGTCAGGCTTCGGCAGCACACCAGCCGGCTGCAGGACGAAAGGATCGAGGAGCTCCTCGCACTTGTGCTCGCTGAGCCCACTTTGGAAACGTTAATCGTCGGGCAATACTCTGGCTGGATTGGAAGAACCGAGCGTGGTCTGAAGCTCTCGCCAGTACCGGAGCTCCAGGGTGGAGGGCTCCGTGTACTCAGATTCGAAAGGTGTCGATTGCAAGAACAAGCCGAGTTCCTTTCGACGCAATCATTGCTTGAGGAATTCTGCACCGAAGTGCATGGTCCCTTGCGGCCGTTCCTGCTTGGACTTTGCACAGCAAACCTGAATAGGCTAGATCTTACTGTGAACCCGTGGGGCGATGATCTAGGGAGAAGCGGACCAGAAGGGTCGATCGAGATGCCTGCTCTCTTTGAGTTGTCCCTGCGGGTCACAGTAAAGGATGCTCTCACATTCATGCACGCCGTTCACCTGCCGTCACTTGTATCCCTCAAGTTCGACTTCCCCGTTATAGATGTCAGTGGCATCGAACAGTCTACCAGCCTGCTGGTCGACTGGCTCTCCTCTCGCTTTGGAGACATCCCGGGCTGTACTCAGGTCAACATATTGGTCACTGCTACCGAGCTATGCGTCAACATGTCGTGGAGCACACCATCAAATCGCGCAACGCATCGAAAGCTGAACGTTAGCTTTCCTCGTCTTCCCTCGGGGGGCCCTCCGCATTTGACTCGAAGTGTGGAGGAGTGCGGGATGTTCCTCTCCTGTCTATTCGAGAAGTTTGCAGCCGTTGGTACTACTCACGTAGTATCGATAACTGCGGGTCCGCCCACTTTTGCTCATCATGGACCGTCTCCGCACTTGGCGCTCCTGAAGGAAATCGTGCTGAAGTACATCAACAAGTTGTACAGGACAACGAACCTGCAACTTGGGTGGCACGCAGCTCTTATGCTCTTGCCACTTCAACCGGGACCGCTCCCGCACTTGTCCGAATTACGGATCGGCGCTTCTGAACTCGAGAGCACTGCCTATCAGCTGCACGAGGATCAACTCGCCTCCTTACGCTCCTTGGTGCGCGGTGAAGCCGACTCACGAGGAGTACGGTGTCGAGTCGAATTGGACGGTGTCGACCTCCCGGTGCACACCTCAGTTCCTGAACCTGCCAGTGCAGCCAGGGATTTGAGCGTTGACGCCAATCTCATGGAACGAGAGGCATCAGTTCTTCTGTAATGATTGAATTGTCTCCTTATGCATGGCTATCCCGATTCCTTCTGTCAAAATATGCGAATGATCGCTGTACCGAACTGTATCATGTACGTACTCCCTTCGATCGTGTACTTGAAATTCGGATGAAAGAGGTCGAAATTTCGATATCACGGCCCTGCATCAAATATCCGCAAGACAAACAGAGACCGCGTGGGTAATCTGAGGGTTCTAGTACGATGGCCCACAGAAGTAAGCGCTGTTCGCCGTTCGGTCGCGGAAAGGATCCCCGAAGCCAGCCCGATGCTCCGCGACACGTCGTTCCTCACGCGCCTTGACGTCCATCTGCAAACCCCAAATCCTTTTTCAACGCTTGGGAAGAGTCGCTAACGAGCACCCCACTGCCAACGACCGCTAAGAGAGGCTCTCAAGGGTCGTAACGGCCGGCACCAGCATGGCTGTCGCGTGCGGCGGTGATGGCCGACGATGTTCACGCGATTCGCGACACGTATATCTACCCCGTCTGTGCACGTTTCCAGACCTGGATCTCTCGTCCCTGGAGCCGTGCACGTTGACGTTGAATGTCTTGAACCCGGAGGGATGGGTGGTACCACAATGGCCAAAGCGCTCGCCGCGGAAGTTCAACGCGAGGCACGAGCTCTTGAGATCACGTGCGGGAGTTTGAAACGCTCAATCTGAGTCCTTCGAGCGACCCGGTACAATGCAGACCGGCTTAACTTGAGCACATATGCACCTCGAGGCCCGACTTGGGTTCAAAACGCTGTACTACGTATTCCAGAATCCTTCCTCATGAGTACAACATCGACAAAGAACGACGAACGGGCCACTGCTTTAGCCCGTCGCACGCACACGACACCGAGTTCGAAAAGGTGAGTCGTCCACGGTTAGATCTGTATCCGTTAAGCACCAGATCGTCCAGGAGTCTTTGTCCCTCAGCTGTTACCAAGACCATTACTTAGTCAACCGTCAAGCGGAGCGCGCCTTTCCGGGCGGGGCGACGATAGACAATGAAGAATTCGCGAAGAGCACTGCGACGCATGCATGTATCGACGACGGGTATCGTGGCAGACCGACGTAGAGGTAGAGCTCCGGCGGCAGTGTTCCTTCGGGAGGAGTTCTGGCAGAGAAGAGGGGGCTATTGCCAGAGAAGAGTGTACTGATCCTGTGTAGCAACTTGGTTAGAATGCAGAAGACTCGCAGAAGAAGAAACCTGAAAGCCCACCTAGATCCTCGATACGAGTCTGACGCATGGCGTGAAAGAAAGTGTGCGAGCCTCGATAGTAGAGCGCGACTAATGGACGGTCAAAGGGCTTGATGCTCGATATTAGTCCTACCCCTAGACAAGGACGTGCAAGCCGCCCGCGACGCTTTCTGGGCTCGCCCTTCACCCCGCACGCACACGACACCGAGTTCGAAGTAGTCGTCCACGATTAGAGCTGCATTCGCCAAGCGTATCAAAGAGCGGCATAGACCTGGCGTGAGCATATGCCACCACGACAGATAGAAGAGTTGGCCGTCGAGTAGCGGCAAGTACGTCTCCGGGCGGGCCGGCGCTGAACAAGTTGCGAAGGGTACCTCAACGTCAAAGGAGTGTATCGAAGGCTGTTGCTTCTGTTTGTGAACTGTCGTTAGATAGCCAATCGTGACGGAACGCCTGCAGTAGTACTTGTGCCCTCGGAGCCTCGGAGGAAGCATTGTTCGAGAAGAGGGGAGAGATTGACAGAGAAGCGTGTTGGGATTCTAGAGAGGCAAGATGCTGAAGGTGACCTGCGTTGCAGTGGTGTGCGCCGGCAGCGATTCGGTCAGCTTTGGCTTGGCGGATTAGCCCCCCTCCGATGTCAACGTTGAAGAACCAGTCGTGTGGAAAGAACGAGAAGTGACTGAGCGCGCGCTGTCATGCTTGTCAATGTAAAGGCCAGACGACGACAGGTGGGCTGTGCATACCGTACAGTACTCGATATGTTCGGCGGCGGCGATCTGTTCTATGATCCATCTAGGTTAGTACGGTACATAACCTCAATGGAAAACGCTCTCGTGTCAAGCATCTGGAAGGCTGTGCAGGTAAGTTCGAAGACGTCGACAAAGAACCAGTAAAGAGCAACTTCTGTCCATATTCGTCGAGGCAGTCCTTGAGAGTCAGAAAGAGAAGCAGGATGACTGTCACGCTGACAGGGGAGATCACCGCCGGGTGTACCGAAGCTTCGAGGATGACATGGATTTGAGACAGAGCATCATGATTCACCCCTACAGTCAACCCCACCAAATCAGACCAATACGCAGCTCTACATATGTATAAGAAAATATGAAGCGAGGGAAGAAAGGGTGCATGGATATCGAGGGGGTGCAAGCGTACGACGACCAACCAAATCAAAAAATGAACAACCACGAGAACAATCCACAGCGAGGAGAGCAAGGGGGACGGACGACGGACGAGGAACGTCTATACGGATACAAGCCACTATAGAGGGCAGGTACAGATGGAGATGGCGTGCGGTGCGGTGCGGGGTAGCGGTATAAAGGAGTCGAGCGGCGAGGTGGGGTAGAATGCGGGGTTATGCGGGTGTACGTATAGACTAAACATATCCAAGAATGTCCGCAGATATTTTTGGGTGGCAAACGACGCTAGAACGTCGTAGCGATGCGCGAGACAGTCGGGCTGCCCGCTAGACTCGGCAGACGGCCGTGGCGCGCGAACGAATATGTGAACGCGTGCGGGGTAACGGACGGCGGGGGCGACGGCGTGCGCAGCACACCCGACCCGGGCGTCTGAGTCGCGGTGTACTCGTACTGGCGCGGCGGCGTGCTGGGCCGTTCTGTCGCGTATTCACCAGTATAAAACAAGCGGTGCTCGTCAATCCGCTCGGGTTCTGCCGGTGCGGCTGGTTCGTCGCGGATGGGTGGGGGTGGTACGAGGGCGTAGCCGCGGCCGGCGACGGCGTTTAGCCAGCCGGCACGTGCGTGTGCGATGTAGCGCTGGTACGATTGCGGATTGGGCGCATCGCTGATCGAGCGCGCGCGCTGGATGTTGACCGTGGCCGGCGCTGGACGTGGCGCGGCGGGGACGTCGTGCGCGTCGGTGGGCACTCGCGCCAGCCACGTGAGGCTCTCGACGTCCTGCTGCACGCGACGCAGCGCAGCGCCGGGCACGTCGTCGAGGACGTCGAGTGGGGGCATCGAGTCGTTGTCGAGCGAGTCCGCGTCAGCGTCGGGGCTGATGCGGCCAGAGTCTGAGCTGCTGGCCGACGCGGATTCGATCGGGCTGAGCGGTGCGGGCGCTTGCTGGATCGGGTTGACCACTGCCTCGTAGACGGCATCAGCGAAGAACTCCTCGCTGTCCGGGTCGAATGCCGCGTCATAGGACCATGTCGGGTACGGGCACGGCGCAGGCGACTTAGCAGCTTCGACGGGCGCGGTGGCGCGCTGCGCGGCAGACTTGTAGACGAGACCCATTTTTCGGTGGTAAGGGTGATGTGGGGATTAAAAGGGAGGGTATAAGCGGGTGTGGGGGTGGTGGTTAAGAGGAAAGATGCAGTTCCTTTCTCTTTGCAGTGGTCGCTTTCAGCCTTTCAGCCTGGACCGCGTCTTCGAACTTCTCAAAACTGGAACAATCGTCCGGTCCGCCCGGATCCCGACGTGGCCTGTGCCTGAGCACCGCGCATGCCTGATCCGTCCGCCCTTCATCTCGTTTGTTCGTCGCAATTTCATCTCTGGCCTCGTCGTTGCTTTGTTCACCACCACCAGCTTCGACCCATTTTGTTGAAACTCATACTGGGAGCCGTGAGCCATGCAAGACCCACTCTGTCTGAAGGGTCCTTGCCAAGCGCATTCAAGAAGCTTTCTCATCTGGATCTCGATGTTCCCAACAGTCATGCTGCACGCGTCCTCGTTCCCTCCAGAACAACTCTGACGCCTACTCGCACACACCGTCGTGATTGGCATTCACGTAGACGCTCAGCCCCTATCGACGTAAGTATGCGCTTGCGCCGATCGGCCGCTGTGAATGAACGACGTCGTTCTACTGGGTGCCGCGTGCCAAACGGAGATCTCTGTCAAGCGCGCGGGCGTTGTGCTCATATTCAGCCACCCGTACATCTATGGTATTGAAGATCATGTCAAGCAGGGTCGGACGCGGCGCCGGCCACCGCGATCTGGTACAGCGTAATGGACTTCGATAATGCTCGGCGTGCGAGCACCTCTTGTTCCCTGTGAACCCTCCGACAAGTCGCCATTCAACATTCATGTATGAATGACGAGTACGTGCTCGGCACCTCTGCTGCGCGGCGCTTCGGCATCCAAACAGTATGCATCGCTCACATCTTGAGCTCCTTAAGGGGACCTACAGCTTTACTGACTGCCTATAGGGTATAAGGCCTAAGATCGAGGCGCGCGCGGCGTTACACGTTATCCGTCCTTCGGGACCCTGCTGGGAGTCTGCAGCTCATGTTCTGTTCCGTGCTCGGCATACAAGTCCAGACTTTATGACCTTCCGACCCAGTTCTGACTTGCAACATTCGACTCGGCGAAAAGCCGACACCGGCGCCGACGGCGGCACCTCTCAGCAATTATCCTGCACACTTCGTCGAAACCTCCATCCAGAGCAGACCGGATTATCTTGGGTGGGGTTCACGCCGGCCGGCGCCTCTCCACAGCCTCGTATAGTGAACTCTGCAATTATACCAGGGCCGCCGACGGCGAAGTTGGAGCATCTGGCACACATACAACAACCTCTTCGGCTGGCCTTCTCTTCTTGTTCGACGACCTTTACTTTTTGTTCGCCGACCTCAGCCAGCTTCGATCTCGAGTATATGGTCCATGCGTGTTGGGCTTGGCTCTTTCCCTCATGACAGGCTCCTCCTACGTGGATCGTCGACCGAGTGCTGATGACAGGAGGCTCTTGGCGAGTGCACTCGATACTCACGTTGTTCTGGACAGTACCCTCAGTCTCGTGAGAGGCGCCGCGCTCTACGTCCTCGCCAAGACGTTCTCGTGAACCCTACTTGAAGCAATACCCCGGCGAAGTAGCAATACCTCGGCCAAGTACGGAAGACCAAGAAGCAGGAGCGCGGGCCAAGATGAGAGCACGTCGTGGCGCGGGGAATGTGACGTCTGTAGACTGTGGATGCCGACTTCGCGACTTAGGATACGCATTGTGTAGAATGTACTCAACATAGCCTGTAGATCGTGCCGATGACTGCAGTGACGCGTGATACTTGGAAGGTCTGACAAGCGTGCCCCAATGAACGGCACATGTACGCGTGGGTTTTTCTCCTCTTTCTGTTCCACCTTCCTGCCGGCGTCGCTTCTCTTCACGGGTGCACTAGCACTCTGAGAGAACGATAAAGAACGTCGTGACGGCAAAGGATACATAGCGATGGCCCAATCACTCAGGGAGTCCAAGGGGCAACTTGTCGATTTCGAGTAACCCAGACAATAACTTGAAGTTGAAGTATTCGTGGGAGACACGTGCTATCAACGGGCGTAGCGGGCCGGACGGTCTGATTCGCCATGCGGGCGCTTCCTGCTCTCACCACCATCAGCTCAGTACAAGAGTACAATCCCCGAAACTTGCCCTCTTCAACGGACCCTACACATATACTGGCGAACATGGGAGGAGATACTGCTGCCCCCAACAACAAGCGGCAGCGCGTCGGCGACGAGAGCGAGCCGAGCAACCAGTTCGAGCAGCACGACAGGCTCTGGTTCGCGGACGGGAACGTGATCCTTCGATGCGAGCAGACGGACTTCCGCGTGCACCGGTCTCTGCTCGCCACTCACTCCGAAGTGTTCCGCGATATGTTCACTGTGGGGACCCCCATGAATCAAGCCTACGACGACGTCCCCGTCGTACATCTGGCGGATGACTTGAAGAGTCTTACCACCCTCCTACTTTTCATATACTTCCACGACGAGGTTCGTCATACGATGTTCATCATACAAGTGCTCATTTTGAGGACACGCCCTTACAGGACTATGATAATATGACATGGGTCCTGGACTTGCTCGAGATTTCGACCAAGTACATCGTGCCGCTTCCTCGTGACAGATGCCTCGCAGTTATCCGCCGCTTTTTCCCCGACACTCTTGAGAAATATCAAGAAGAGCCGACCTACAGCAGGCGATATAGCATCAACCTCTGCTCCGCTGCGCGTTGTCATAAACTCGCAACAGACAATAATCTCGCTACCTGTCTTCCTGCTATACGATGCTTCTGTGCGGACATCTTTGCTTTCCACTCCTCGTGCGAAGGCTACGATCCTCGTGAGGAGATACAGCATTGCCCATCCTCACTTCAAGTGGAGATCATGGCCTGGGGTCGAGCCCTCCTCGCCGCCAAGCGCGATATCTTGGACAAGCACATACAAGAGTTTTTGGAAAATTCCGACAGAGAGACAGACTATCACTGTGCTGACGAACTCGCCATCGCATTTCTGTCTTATAAAAGCGAGGACTGCGTTCTCAATTCGAATCAGCATCTGCGATATGAAAACGACTTGCAACTTTTCCCTCCAACGAGCTTCGCCGTCGACCTCTCTAAACGTTCGGGAGACGTATGCGGCGACTGTGAAGCGGATTGGAAGGAAAAAGAGATGGCAGGTCGGATCGCGCTCTGGGAAGAGCTACCCAAATACACCTCCTTGGGGACATGGCAGGAGTTACGCGCTCGAGAAGGTTGACATGGGTGATTGTGGGGTGCACTCCTGAGTCAGGTCGTATGTTGTGTCTTACGAACCATGCGTCATAGCAGTATAGGCCAGTAGTCGTCAGAATAATAATGCTGCCAGACGATCAGCCACACCTAGTGGCTATCTGTACTTCGCGTTGTATCCAGTGTTCGTATAGCTTGATAAAGGAAAGCAGTTCCATTTCCGCGTGAAGTCGTAAGAGTGATCGGAATATGTACAACGCGACTGAGGTCGCGACGCGTCTCGCGCGCTTCGTTCCTACCACCGTCTTGACCGCCAACACTGGGGTCGAGCCTCCAATCCACCAATCACCCGGCCTCACATATCTTCCTACCACTGCACACGATGGCGGACGGTGCTACAGCTGGTCATAAACGTCGACGGGTGGAAGGCGATGGCGATGTGGACGATCTTCAGGCTGCCAGCTTCACTAAACACGGCAGGCTTTGGTTCGAGGACGGCAACGTGATCCTCATCTGTGATCAAACGGGCTTCCGCGTCCATCGATCCCTCTTATCTCTACATTCATCGGTGTTTCGTGATATGTTCGACGTCGCTACCCCAGGAGATGACCTTAGCGAAGGGATCCCGGTCGTACATCTGTCGGATGACCCCTTCAAGATTGCCAAGTTTCTGGGTTTCTTCTACTTCCGTGACGAGGTACGGGTGATTTCTATACTCTCTGGATTCTATTGATGCAGTCTTTTGCGTATAGATACCCACACATATTGGTCCGGTTCTTGATTTCTTCGAAATATCCTCAAAATACGATGTCCCGCTCATCCGCGACCTATGCGTGGCTAATCTGCGGCGTGCCTTCCCCGATACACTCTCAAGCTTTCAAGATGCGCGCACCTACCGGAATGATGAACTAGATATGGACCTTACGAGCTCACTACGCTGCGTCAACCTGGCGAATGCACAAGGTCTCCACCTCCTTCTCCCAGCAATGACTCTCACATGCGTGGCGAAATACACCTTCGATACTGCGACTGAAGACATTGAACTGTATAGTATCTTACAGTCGCTTGGCCTGCCTTTGTCTCTTCAGCCAAAGCTCGCGTCATGGTCACGCAAACTCCTCTCTGAGAAGCGCACCAAGGTGGATGGGCACATTCAACAGTTCTTGCAAGATCCGGATAGAGAGCGCAACTACCACTGTGCACAACAGTTAGCAATTGCGTTCTTATCCTACACCAATCAGACATTTCTATGTGCCGACGAATGGCGACATGAGTACGATCTGGATATCTTTGTGAAGGATATGTACGCTGCAGATTTGACCAGGATGGCGGACGACGTATGCGATGATTGCATCCAGGAGTGGAAGGAGAAGGAGAAGGCGGGGAGAAAGGAGCTTTGGGATGCTTTACCCGGCTATTTTGATTTGGGGACCTGGGAAGAACTTCGCATGAAGGATTCAGACGTACCCGGGAACTCGACTGAAGGTGCGTTCTTGTCTATTATTATATCAATCCCATGTCTGGACATTCACTAACATGGTTCCAGAGGTGTTCTCGAACGCAGACGCCTCGGGTTGAACGGCATCTTTGACAGTTCTTGAACTACTTCTATACATATTCATAACGTGTAGCGATAACCACTCCACGCGTCTCCCTTGTCCCTCTTCGCATCGGCTACAGTAGCAAACCTGCCGTTCTTGAGTGCCCTTGCATCCCTATCCTCTTCTCCTTCCTTCTCCCGTGAGATGCCGATGCCGGCTGTATACTCCGGTTCAGAATCGATTACCTCGTCGCGCTCTCCCCGATTACGGGCCGCGTTTTCACGGCGCAAGTAGAAGTAGTTGAGAACTGAGAAGATGAAACCCAACCCGATGTAGAGGAGGACCATGCCATGTCCGAAGTGATACCACGGCTGATCCTTGGCTCGATACTGAGAGGACGTCAGAAGTGATTCACGCTTAACGAAGAGAGGGGGCTTACCACGTTAGAGCTGACAGCGCCGTTGATATTGCCACTGGGAGCGGTTAGACAAGTATAACAAAGAGTTAGGGGGTGCTTACAAGCTGATGACCATGGCGATCGCGACACTACGTTTGTAGGAGCCTTCGACGTTATTAGATACCCAGGCGCTGCGGGTGGGGTCAACAGAGCCCGGCTACAGGTTCATGGGACATACATGGTGTTGGGAATAAGAGGATAGATCCCACACGTTGCCAGGTAGACCGCCACGTAGGATAGCACTGCACTCTCTGAGGCGATGAGCATGATATAACCGGCCGCGCCGATGCAGAGGAATCCACTGCATACTCCTGTCAGCGGTTGTCTCTCCAAACGCAGATCGAGGGGACCTCACATGTTGAATAGACCGCGATTGCCCCAACGGTCAGCCAGAAAGCCGACAATGCAAGTGACGATACACGCGAAGGCGTAAACGGGCACCGTTAGCAAGTTCGCTGCGGTGGACTTGTAGCCCAGTTGGCTGATGATGCTCGGCAAGAAGAGCGAGAAGGCGTAGAGTGGCATGTCGCTGCCGACGTAGACCATCACTGAGAGATAGGTCAGTCAGCGACCGGTCTCAGGTAATGAGCGTACTTACTTCCGAACCACGTCTTCAGATCCAAGATGCTTCGCCACAAGTTGCGGAACTGCAGACGTTCACCAGCTGCAGAGTATTGGTCGTCGCTCTGTAGCCGTCGAACAACGACTGCGCGCTCTGCTGCTGACAGAAACTTCGCGCTGTCAGGGAAGTCCTCGATAATCCAGAAGGATACTGCCCCAGCGATAACAGTCGCAAGTCCCTCCTGATAAGAATGTGAGCAAGCCGACCAGATACAATCTATATTTAGATGGCTCACGAGAATGAATATCCACGCCCAAGCGGGTTTACCTCCAATGCCGTCCATATTCGCTATCGCGGCCTAGTGGAGCAGGTCAATACTGGTACAAGCTATTCACAGAGCTCGACGTACAGCAAGAAGACCTCCGAATGCTCCGGAGACGGAGGCGGCGGAGAAGAAGATAGCGGCTCGAATGCCGAACTCGGAGCGTTTGTACCAACTAGTGCGAATGGCTAAGCACTTACGCCAGTACATGGAAAGGGACGTAAACTGCTTACCAGGATAGGTAGTAGTTGACTCCGGGGAACAACCCTATAGGAGTGTCAGAGCGAGCACGCAGAACATCTGTGTGATCTTCACGCGCCAGCTTCCATCATACCCAGCATCCATCGCATTCCCAAGAGCCCGCCGTAGTTATGCACGAGACCTTGGACAGTCTGCAATAGTCCGCGAGAGTCAGTAGATGCGAGTGTTCATCTGAACGCGACATACCATCATGATCCCCCACAGCAGCATGAGCAACGAAAGCCAAATCGAGGGGCGTAGGCGCTTCAAGAAGACATTTGACGGTACCTTTCAAGCATCTTGTCAGAATCATCCTCAAGAGTGGGAGATAATGTCGTACCTCGAAGACAGCATATGGGAAGAAGAATATAGTCAGAGTGAGCTTAACGGGGTATACCTCATAAGTATTGGCACGCGCGGCGAGTGAGTAGAGCTCACGAGGTACTGATTGTCGGTTATGTGAAGATCTCCTTCTAGACCGTACAACTGCGCCTAAGGTCAGTATTGAGTAGTGATGCGACAAGATCCTACACACTTTTGCGTTCCCTATGCTGGTGCGGTCCAGGAAGCTGAGTAGATAGAGCAGCGATAGCCAGGGAATGAGGCGCAAGTCCACCTTGCGCATGAGCTTCCGCTCATCCACTCCGGAGGTATCGAGCTCCGCGGCGTAGACATCTTCTGATTGTTCAACCTGAGTAATCCTCCCTTTCTCTCCGTTGAACGAGTTCGCGGGCGACTCGGCCGTTCGTTCGTGATCTGACATCCTGTGCGATGATGGCGGAGTGAAAGCGACAGCGCTAGCTCGCCGTCAGACCGCCCACCTATATAACTGCGTTTCTGAGCGGTCCGTACGCCTGATAGACGCTCCACATCTGCTTAACGAATACGACGGCCAAGGATGATACGGCGATTCCTTCCCACAAGTCCGTTCACGTGTGAGCGCGCGAAGGGTCAGATGAGGTCGGTATGCCGGCAGCTTTATGGGCTCACGCTAGCCAACATGTTTGGCGAGGTACGCGTACGCAGGCTGTCGCAAAGAATTCAGAGAAGCTGTGTCTAAACATACCAATAGCGAGGAAATGGAGAAAGATAGGCCGCCGACATAGAGGAATCGCGCGCTCTTCAGCCTCTTCTGCATTGGATTCAGAGCTGGTATACTCTTTGAAGATGGTCCTGGGGTGACATCCTTTCGCGGTTCCAAGAGAGGGGTGCCTGCAGGAGTATACGCCTCAAAGTGTTAAATAGTGGTGGTTGAAGAAGTCGAAGCACTCAGGACCGGCGGCAGAAGGAACTGACACGGCTGTAGAGCGTGAGAGTCGGCGTGATCGGCCCGACGCCCCACTCTAGCGCGCCCGGTTCAGACTTTATGTAAAGGCATTTACTTAACTTCGACCACCACCACCAGACTTATGAACACAACTTGTGGAAGGAACAGGCCACTCCGGTCCTGATATGAGAACTCTCTGGGCCAGCATCCTAGCAACCTCCAGGCTTGATCAGCTGTTGATAGTGATGGGGAGATGTTGTTGCTACCCAACAATGCTGTATGAGATCTGAACTTGTACGACTGTAGTTGACCCGTACGGCACGAGACTATCCTTGTGGTCTATAATGTATCTTTCACCTTGTAAATTGTATGTGACGGGCTATTTCTGGCGGCGGGGTACATGCGGTAGGCAGCGTGTGCACATGCTACAGAGTGATCTTCCTTGGATCTTCCTTGCACAAAGAGCAACGCGCCCATCTTGGTTCGTCAACCGTCATTATTCCTCCCGGTACTCTCCAACGCCCGACATCGTCTTGACGAGTATAAAGGGAAATGAGACTTAGCCTCGATGGCAGCTCAAGCGATTTCATCGCCTTCTCGATCACGCTGATATAATGCTTGCCGCCTCTATCTTGTACCAAGCTCTCCTAGCCGCTGTGGCGCTTGCTGCCGTGCCAGCGCGCCGTACTCAGCGCACGCACCAGCGTACCAATGTCTTCCAACTTGCCTCTTCAGATGTTGCCGACTCGTCGCTCAGCCCCAACTGGGCAGGCGCCGTCCTTGTCGAGCCTACAGCGACCTATACATCCGCGACGGGCACCTTCGTCGTCCCAGCCGTATCACTTCCTGCAAACAGCACGTCAGGAACTACATACACCGGTTCTATATGGGTCGGTATCGACGGATGGCAGACATGTGGAACGTCGATTCTTCAAGCCGGCATCGAGATCTGGATCGATGATAGCGGAACGACAACATATGAGGGTAAGCGTGCCGCCCAGCTGTAATAATGAGATCAAGTACTGAATCAGACTCAGGATGGGCGGAATGGTGGCCCAATGACCCAGTTGGGCTATCGGATATCAGTTTCAGCGAGGGCGATTCAGTGACGGTCACGGTGACCGCGTCGAGTACGACCGCGGGCACGGCTGTAGTGGAGAACACGACGAAGGGCCAGACCGCGACGTACTCCTACAGCGATCAGACCGCCCACCCGCTTTGCGAGTTCAACGCAGAATGGATTGTGGAGGCCTACGATGAGGGCGGTGACTTGCTTCCATTCTTCGCGTTCGACGCGGTCACCTTTACTGGCGCAAGCGCGACCACCGCGGACGGCACTCAGGTCGATACCACAGGCGCGACGCTGACCGACATTCAGCGGACGGAAGTTCTCACATCGACGAGCGCAAGCGGATCTACGGTCACTATCGATTACATTGCATGAGGGATACAAGGCGAGGGTAGACGGGAAGGTACAGGCGAAGTCTTCATTGGGTCCAAGAAGTGAAGCAGTCCGTGACTCTGCGGGATTCGTATCACATGGTGGCATGTAAGGGTACTGTGAAAGGAGAAGTTAGGTGCTGCCGACGGGCGATTTGCCGCGGCGTTTCTTGGACGAGCGTCGGAAAGTACGCGCGTACTCGCGATTGTTGTATTTGGCTCGCGCAGAACGCGTCGTCTGTATGATCAAATATCCTCAGTTATGGTTGTATGATGTAATGAGGGGACGTATACCTCGATATCGACGTAAGGCTTGAGGTTCACCTCGATGCGAGGCTTGACTCTCCGCTGCGGCGCGATGTTCTCATCCTCTGAAGACTACGAGGATGAAGACCACATGCTGCATACGTCGACGCGAGATCTTACCTCTAAATATCTGCTGAGCCTCTTCTGCGAAGAAGATCGTTGAGAGGGACCGGGTATCAGAGCGCGCTTCTGGAGAGCATGGGGTTCGCCTGTATCGGAGAGAGCGTCGAGGCCAATTGGTGAGGTAGTGCGTTGGCAAAACGAGCTCTCTGTGGCACAAGGCGAGGGTGATGTCGCGGGCGAGTCCGTCAGGTCGACAGGGCACTGAGAGGATCCTGGCGAGGACGAGCATGGGGTACTAGCCCATGAGATATCCAAAAACTCCTCGTCAGAATCAAGCTCGTCGAATTCAATATCGTTGCTTGAGCTGTCTTTATTGTCGCCATCCTCAGGACCAGGGTCTGATAACGTAGGTAAGCGCAGCGATAGCAGCAGCAATGATGACTCCAACCTTCAGGCATACAAAAGAACTGAAAGGCGATGAGCGGGTCATCCCAGGATTGTGTCGGTCTATAGGACTGTGTTGCCTGGACCGCACTCAATGACTCCTCTGATAACCTAGTGCGCAATCCTGAGTCTCTGGAGGATGTATTTTGAAGAGAAAGGACGCGTACACGACGGGGCTGGTCATATCCGGTAGGGTTGGAATGCATGTGTTGATGATGCGGGGTGCAGGAGCCTTGTTCGTCCGTTCGGCGTGCACAATGCGCACTTCGATCATTCCTGATGAGCGACCGGCTGCTGGAGAAGATGCGCGTATAAGTAGAGGTACTGACGGAGTCCAGGTATGGGCGCCTACCGCATGACCCCGGCTGCTGCGAGGCAAACAAAAAACCGCGGGTTGCGTGCGCTGACGTTCGCACAGACTCGAGACAAGCAGAAACACCAGCGCGTGCAGCAACGCCCGCAAGATACTGACCATCAACGTACACTCGGATGCACTTGTCATGTTCACCCGGGTCGTCGACGTGCACCTTGAAGAGCTGGGGGTGCGCATATAGTCAGCTCGAAAAAATGAGAACGCATATACGCACGCGGCCGGCTCTGCCTTGGATGTTGCACCGCGCTACATTGCCTTCTACCTCGACATAGCTCTGGGACAGCTCTTCGCCATTAATCGAAATGTGAGCAGTATAGTTGTTATGAGTGAGAGGCATAGTCGAGGAGGAGCAGACGAAGCCGCTGAATGCGGATGGTTCAGTCGGTGCGCGCCGTTCACTGCCACCTGTTATCAGCGTCAGAAATATGCAAATCCACGGTCTTCGACAAGGCCAAGGGTGAAGGACTGGTGGATGTTGAGGACAAGGATGAAAGTCGATCGCGAGTAGGTAGATCAGGTTGCGGCTTCGTGCGAGTGCCATGTGCGCAAGCAGGGAAGCTGTCAAGTCGCGTGAGGGCGATCACCTCCAACTTCGCCGAGCGTAGCGCCTCCATTATGATTTCGGTACCCATCTTGCTTTGAGCATATACATGTATATCACAGAGTGCGAATACATCTGACACGACCAGTATTTGCGACGAGTATATCCGGCCCTTCTCGTCGCTAGCTCTTCTGCGTTAGCACGCGTCCGCGTGTCGTGTAGTTTGCGAAAGTGAGCCGCGAGTCGGCATCATCGATGGATCTGGGGATAATGAGCGAGAGGATGCACGTGCAGGGATGGAGTACACGCACCGAGTCTTCATCTCTCCTGCCCAAGTGATATCTTTGGACTGTGGCGCTTTGAGGCAGGCGCCTACTATCCCGAGTACCATCGCAAGTAGGGCCTCAGCCGCAATCTGTGAGGTACAACGGTCAAAGGAGTTTCCTCATATAATATTAGGGCACATACGTCTAGTGGTAGAGCGCCCTCTGGTCGACCAACTGCCTTCAAGTGCGACAAGTCTATGATATAGAAATAAGAAGTCTGCTGAGAGGTAGAGTATGCCAACGTACGTTCATATGAGGAGTATGCGCCTGTCGAAGCTCAGTCATGGCGGTGCAGCGTGTACAGCGCGACGTTCTCACTGTGCACCAACAGCAGGCAGGCGACCCAGAACAACGTGGGGCGAAGCATTATGCTCAGAGTTCAATTCTCTGCGTAGATAGACGCTGAGTGTACTGAGCAGTCTGGTGGTCGTTCGTGTCAAGAGCGACGAGCGCTTCAGCTCCCGATTGAACGAGTGTGATCGTGGGAACGTGAATATCCCCTTGCCTTCGGCGAACGCTCGGCGATTGGTTGTTCTGTGGCTGCCACCACGGGCTGGCTTAGCAATCGGCGGTGCCATAGCATACGAGAATTGATATCTGCGCTGTCTGTGCGAGTCTGGCGGATATCCCCGAAGACGATACTACTCCAGCACCAACCAACACCGCGATTTTCTGTCATTGTCAAGCACTACTTGCCACCCGTTACGCGCCCATGTCCCCTCGTCCTCCCATCCTTGACTCTGGTCTCGACGCCATAGGGTATACGCCACTCATCCGTCTTGACCGCATTGCCGCCCATGAAAAGCTCAAATGCAATCTACGTAAGATCCGCCTGACTACCAATATCTTCGCTAGCCCTCATGTTGGTACATGCAAGTTGGCAAGCTCGAGTCTGTCTCTGCCGCAGGCTCTGTCAAGGATCGCGTCGCAAAGGCCATGGTTGACGCAGCAGAGCGGGATGGCGTGCTCATTCCGGGGAAGAGCGTTCTCATAGAGCCCACGTCCGGTAACACCGGTGTCGGCCTCGCGATGGCATGCGCTGTCAAGGTTCATACTTTCCCTGCTTCTACCAGTTCCCTCTCTCTTCATGATGCGCACAGGGCTATCCGCTCGTCGTGGTCATGTCTCAGAAGGCATCCATTGTGAGTTCGATCTACTATTCATCTTGCCGATTCAGGAGCCGACGTTCGTGTGTATCTACAGGAGAAGGAAACCGCAATGCGCCTGCTGGGCGCTCAGGTCGTGCGCACGCCGATCGGCTTATCATCAGATTCCAAACTCACACACACAGGTAAGCATACCGTCATTCTCTTGGCATATACACTCTGAAGCGCTCTAGCTATCGCGAAGCGGTTGAGGGACACTATCCCTGGCGGCGTTATCTTAGACCAGTACAGTAATGTGAGTGTCTTTCGACACGCAATCCGGTGCTATGCATACATATGCTCATTCTTCCTGATCCTATAGCCAGCCAACCCATTGGCACATGAGCTCGGAACGGCTCAGGAGATGATTGACGCAATCGTGGCTGACGCGCAGGCGGCCGCTCGCCCATCTTCTGGCAAGTTGGATGTCTTCTTCGCCAGTACCGGTACCGGTGGAACCCTTACAGGTGTGGCGCGTGGTGTGAAGAAAGAGCATAACCCAAAAGCTCAGGTCATCGGTATCGATGTTGTGCGTACATGACCGGCTCAATGTCCCGAGCTCCCTCACGAATGATACCTTTCTGCAGAAAGGTTCACTGCTGGCGGTGCCGCCAGAGTTGAACGAGCCATATCGTGGCACACGCTATCTGGTCGAAGGTATTGGCTATGATGTTGTACCGGCTGTGCTCACACGAGAGCCGGGCATGATTGACAAGTGGATTAAGACGGGCGACGAGGAGGCTTTTGAGGCGTTACGGCTACTCCTTCGTTTGGAAGGTCTATTGGTTGGAGGTAGTTCGGGGAGTACACTCGCCGGCGCGCTTATGTGGCTCAAGAGTGACGAGGGTCGCGCGATAGCGCAGGAGGAAGGCCGTAATGTCGTGGTACTGCTCGCGGACGGGTGAGTGCAGAATACATCGTATGAACTACTGAGGCTGAGCAACCGTAAGGACTCGTAATTATATCGCCAAGGAGTGGTTCAGGGACCTTGGCAAGGATGAAGAGCCCACCGACATCGCGAAGCTCGCGGCCGAATCTATGCACTCATATCTTCAAGAGCCAGGCGTCGCGGAAGCCGAGAAGACAATCATGGTGAACAGCAGTACAGTCTAAGTTGTGTATCCTAAAGCACATGGTATCAAGATATCATACAGTGAGCAATCGTTGAACATGATGACGAGAGGGATCCAAGAATCGAAAGGGATAATGTTCGTGACGGTGAGAGAGTAGTTCATACTCGCAGCCAATCCTTTGGCTGCGCACGTTTTACAGCTTCGAGGTGCCTGCCCATACGTCTGACTGTGAGTTCGACCCGATAGCCAGAACCTCTTCGGCGTGCTCGTTCCACCACTCCTGCGCCGCCTTGTCGGCGTCGTATCCAAACGCTTCGATGTTCTTCGAACGGTCGGCCCATTGGTTGGCACTGCCCAAGCCGGAACTCTCGGGCAGGCGCGCCGGTGCAGGATAGATTGCCTCATTCGCCATCGCCTTGCGCATGCTCTCGTCGCGAGCTTCCTGCTCGGGGCCGTCAGAAAGGTGGAATATGTGCTGGTTCAGGCGAGAAGATAGCTGCGCCTCCGTGCATCGCGTGTACCTAATAATCGACGCGGTCAGGTGAGTAAGATTGAACAGAACAGCATCGCGTTTGATGCACGTGCGAGACTACGCACCGGAGTTCTTGGTACGCGTGCAAGAGCGTAGGGACTTGGTCCACATGCGTCAAGTTCGCGAAAAGACCTCCAAGCACAGCCGCGTCCTCGATCGCCATTGCTGCTCCTTGAGCGCGGTAGGGCTGTAGCATCCGCCCGTTAGGCATGTGATAATGAGTATCACAAAGAGCACCACCGTACCAGCATCGGGTGGCAGGCATCGCCCAGAAGGACTATGCGCCCCTTCGGATGAACCCATGTTGGGAGCGGCTTACGGTCGCACAGGCGCCACTTGAGAGTAGACTTCACGTAGGAGAGGAGTTTGCCGACTCTGTATAGAAGCCCGGGTAATGAGTTCAACAGTATCGACGCGCTAAAGAGAAACTCACCGAGGCTCAAAGTCGGAGTAGTCCTCCCGCATCTTGTCTGCTGACCCTTCCACGTCCCATGCCTCAACAGACCCGTCGTCAGGAATGATAAGAACAAGGTTGAATTCCTTCTTTTCGCGCTGTTAATGAGTGTGAGCATGGTTGTGGCGCATAAGTGAGATATGGGGCACGGACAATGTTGTAGGCCATCATATGGCGCCGGGGTCCCATCCACGCAGTCATGTTGGGCTCCTCGACGAACCGACGGAGATCCGGATCTTTGAGCATCAGCTCTGTAGGGATGGTCGCGCGGTAGGCAGCATCGCCTGTAGGCTGAGGCTCGCTACTGTATCCAACTACAGCCGCCTGTACACGGCTCTTGACGCCATCCGCGCCTACGATCAGATCTGCGTGCACCACATCACCGTTGGCAAGGGTCACGCTCGGACCTTCGGCGACGTCGGGGTCAGGCTGGATGTCGACGACGGTGGCACCCAGGCGGACAGTGACCCCAGGCGCATCCTTTGCAAGACGTAGGAGCATCGCGTGGTAATCGGCGCGGTGAACGTGGAGGTAAGGTGCGCCGTACTGGTCTTCCATGAGATCGCCCCATCGCGTATATCCGACACGTTCGCCGGTGTTGTAACGGTTGAAGACGATCGCATTCGGCTTGACAGCAGAGGCTGCAATGGCCGATTTAAGGCCCCATCGGAACAGCAGCCGGGATGAGTTTGGTGAGACCTGGATGCCTGCGCCGACGTCGCCCAGCTTAGATGCGGATTCGAGGAGGGTGACGCGGTGGCCGGCTTGAGCAAGTGTGTGTACGGCAGCGAGACCACCAAGACCGGCGCCGACAACGACAATGTGAAGAGCTGTGCCCGCGCGCTTGCCACCATAGATGTGAGGCACCTTGTCGAGAGGGATGTCACCGCTCCCAAAGATGGACGAGGCATGTACAGTCGAGATTGGCTGCTGTTTGCCGCGGCGCTCAGGGGCGATGATAGGCTGCATGGCGAAAAGCGGAGGAGGGCGAGAAGAAAGCCTGAGCTTGGAGCACCCAGTACTCTGACAGCAGAGCTCCTATATAGTACTGACGCGTTCTCGGATCTTATGTTGAGCCAGGACGCTACGTGCATGCTGAATCGCACTTGGTTCATCCTGCGGGCGCCAGACCCCGTCACATGTCCCAAGTTCGCCTCCTGCCTGCTTGGTGAGGTTCGAAGACGCAACCGCAGCCAGTACAGTAGTATTCTTGCCAAACGGGCCTCGGACATTCCCTCGGGTCCTACAACTCCGAGCGGCTACGTGCAGCATGTCGTTAGAAGCAGCTACAGTATGACACCGTGGGTTCGCAGCAACGCAGAGAAGGGAGCGGGTACGAGCGCCAGATGACCTTCCGGAAGGTGATGGTTCCGTGCGATCAGAGCTCTACCTAGCACAGTTGGTCCCGTAGAAGTCTTTTGGATGGATGGCGGCTGTTTGGGAGTCTTCCGCTTCAGCGACATGACGGGACGCAAGAAATGGGCAGTTGATGAACTTGACCGTCGACGGCGAGCGGCGGCATTGGCCCTACACTAGGGTTACTGCGGCAACTCAAAAATAGAGATTGATAGCAAGCGGGTTTCACGGGAGTGGTTCAATAAGGGCGCAACGCTCTGGATGTTCTGTATAGCAGTAGCACCGGGCGAAGATAAAACGAAACGAAACGGCTAACTAGCTTTCCCCGGCTCAGTGCCACATCGCGCTTTTCGTCATCCAGTGGCTGGTAACTCCAACGCTGAGTAGCTGCGCATCTACGCTTACATGCAAGTATGTAGATTGTCATTACGATGTACAAAGTATGTGTCGATAACAAAGAAGCTTGAATCGCAGTAATAGGAATGCGTAGGATACGAAAGGAACGGTATTGCGATCAGCGCGCTCCGCACCGTGGTAGCGCGTGCGAGAAACTGAGGTCGTTGACGTCCGCTGACGTCCGCCACCGTCCACTATAGCGATTGACAGCCAGCAAGGAATCAGGGCGAAACATCCGCAGTTCAGAGTGGGGTAAGCGTGCCAAGGGTTCGTCGGGAGTTAGGTAGGATGTTAGATAGTTGGCCTGTCAGGTTAGTCATCCAGTGTCAAGTCGATGACTTCCCCATGCTGAGGGACAGTAATCGGCGAAGGTGCCCGTTCGGCTTTGACATTGGCAGGTTCTTGAGAATCAAGGCCTGCGAGTTCCGCCTGAAGAGCGGCCATGCGTTCCTGTAAGGAGATCAATTATGGAGGACTTTGATTCGCAATCACCGGCGTTCACAAACCTCAATGCGTCGACGCCGGGCATCAGCGTCTTCCACGCCGCCCAGTATGGGTTTCACATCTTCATCAGCGTCCTAAGAGTGGATGTCATGAGCACGAACATCCGTATAACAGATGTGGTGCGTACATTATCGATGCGTCGGCGTTTATTGCTTGCCTCCTGTGGGCCAGGGGAGCGTGTACGTTGCGGCGGGGTGATGGTGGGTGGCGTAGGAGCTCGAACAGGACGAGGCATTACTCCCATAGCCTGTAGCAGTGCTGTGCATAATTAGAAGCAAAGAGAGAAGACTTGGGAAGAAGGATATACCTTTAGGTCGATGCTTGAAACGAAAGACGGCGTAGGGATGCCTGCCTATACGTTGGGTTGAAATCGTACCCGACTTCCACAAGTAGGGCTCCGGGATGCCTGGCCTGAAGTTACACCCATCAGACATGACTCAAGTTGAACAGAAGATGCAAAATCACACACTTGACATGATTGGCACCTATCAACTTGGATTTCTCCGAAAGCTTGATGCCGGCATCTGCTGCGTGCGGTCGTGTAGCTTGATGCTTGATATTGTATGGTTTCTCTGAGCGACGAGATTGCCAGATTTGGACTTCAATAACACCTATGTCTTCCGTTACGGAATGATTATCGTGCACGCTATGATCTTCATCTGAACACCGGATCAAAGGCGGGCACGACGATGTACTGGAGGGGCATACCTGCCAGCTCAAAGGCCACTTCCGAGAACATGAAGGGTTCCCTGGACGTAGAGGAAACGCGGTATTGTACGGTTTGTTCGTAGTCATCCTCATTCGCAAACCCTTGTAACTTTCTCCCGTCTGCGAACACTCTGACAGATTTATACTCATGCTCGTGAGGTGTGGTGGTGGTTGTATGAACTAAGAACGTCTAGTGAACGAGTGTCGTGTATAAGAACGAGTGTAAGAAGCCAGGTATGCATGAGCAGCCAACGCACCTTTCCCGCCTCACTGGGCATCCAACATGTTATAGTCCTCTCGTCTGTTTTCTCCACTTGGAATTGCGGCAGCTCTTCCCCATCAACTTTAACCATAACGCTATAGCCGCGATAGGTGAGCGGCATGACCGTAAGTCTGAGCGGTCTTGAAGCGGCCCAGTTGCCTTTGAGGCAGTCCTTTGAGCTCCCCTACGTGGTACGGCCCGTACGGAGGAAATGAGCGCAAGATGATGGCAGGGGTTGAGCAGCGCGCTCTGCATCGCGACCGCGCGCGACGCGGTGTCGTGACTATTCTCACGTTCCGAGAGGCCTCGACTTCTGACGCCTGCCGCGAACGAGGCACGCAGCCACATACAGCCAGATGCATCGTAGTACAAGACACGGTGTACTTACTCACAGCGGAGAAAATCAGACAGAGTTGCACCAAAGCAGAACTGTGGTATGTGGATGAGTTGGGTTACATGATGGAGGTCCGGATCCTGCGCTACTCTTACAACATTTACGAAGCGTACAACAATATGCTAAAACGGGAATAGATAGGCAATATGAAAACGACTGCGACTCAACAAACACCCCCGTGTCAAGCTCCAACAGCAGTAGCCGCACTGGCGGGGATATTCGTGTTTGCAGTCTCTGGTGGCGGGCTGGCTGCGGAACTCGCAGTCGGAGAGCTGACAGACAACATGCGCAGACTGGTCGCAGCAGCAAGCTCGGCGTCCGTAGGCGGCGGTACGAGCGGGGTATTTTCGCGCGACTCAGGCTCGGACGAGGTGTCCATCTCCATTGAGCGCCGGACCCTTTTTGTCTCCGGCTCACTCTCATCGTCTGAATCGCGAGCGTGCTTCCTGCTATCTGGTGGCGTCCGGATAGTCATCGGCGAGCTCGGTGTAGATTGGTGTTTGGACCTGTTCGTATAAGGTATCAGCACAGTCCAGAGCGTGTCCGGATAAGGCGGGAACTTACATCGTTAGGCTAGGCTCGGCGGCCTCAAGCGCCTGCATCCTTCTCCTCAGCTCATCGCTGCGTACGGACTCGCCCTCTCGCCTCAGTCTTGCGACTTCGGTGCGCACGCTCTCGCGAACTGCATGTCCGACAACACCGGCGAGAAGCTCGGCGCGCCGTTGCCACATCGATCCTTGGGCTCGTACGGCCTCAAGCTCCGCCCGAAGGCGAGCGATCTCGACCGCGCCTTCGCAAGTGCGGACGGGAATCGGCGCCGGTGGCGAAGCCGGGACATGCATTGCTTGAGGACTGCTGGGTGGCGATGTGCGACTCATCTTCGGAGGGACGGTGTGCGAGTCGAGGTATAATCGCCTAAATGGTGGTTGGAAGAACGGGCGGAGATGCAATGGGAGGAGCGCCGGGTTGACGGTGACTGCACCGATGAGCATGACGTCGAAGTGCGGCTGAAAGACAAACTTGCCTAGGGGAAATGAGGTGCGGCATGTCGGGCACTGCGTGCATGCCAGTGGGCTATGCTTGTGCACCGTGCTTTCAATGCATGTAAAACAGAATACATGACCTGTGCAGAATCCGGAGCATGAGTTTGGTGATCTTTGCGGATATTGAAGCTGGAAGAACTTACCGCAAGGAAATGCAGTTGGCGATTTGAGAGCATCAAGGCAGATTGCGCACGTCGACATCAGCAGACGATGGATGCCTTTGACTCAACGGTGGTGGGTGTGCTGTGAGTATAATGTAGAGCGATAGTGGATGGTAGACCTGCATCCGTACATCACAGGGCTTTATGTCGCGCAGACACAACGAGAATCGGCGACATGCGGGATAGCACGACTCACAACGTGTATCTGGCAATTCCAAGCTCCTCGTTCGAGAGAGCGTGGAGGCTACGATAGACGCGTCTCGGCAACGGCCCCCGACTTGGCCGAAGCCGAGAATGGGTCGAGAACCTGACGTCACGCGTCGGTTTCAACCTCGGACCCACAAGCGCACACGCGCGCACATCCGGTCCGGGGAACGGAGAAATGCTGTTGTCCGGATGCTCGTGCTGTGCGGGGTGTCAAAGAGCGAGGGCAGCGGAAGGTCGGGGTGTACTTCATCCTGAATCGGACGCCGCACCCTGCGATAACGAGCCGTTCAGCCACAGATGTCAGTATCATGAGGCAAAGCGTGTGTCATTCGCGATAGCATACAATGCAGGTAACAGTGAGGTAGAATGCGCCAAGAAGAGCCATGTGTACAACACGAGGAGAGATACATGCACGAGAGAGGGGAGAGCATCTGTCAAAAGTCCGGGGAAGCAATAGAAAGCAATAATGAGCATCGTTCAGTTGCGGGGCATGAGTCCGGGCGAGCGGATATTACGCGCGCCTACGCCCCATGGGTTCACGTAGTCGATCTCCTCGAGCCAGTCGAGTTCATCGGGGTGGTCGCGATCGTTGTGGTACTGCGGAGCGACAGGAGGTGCCATGTCAAAAGCGCCGTCAAAGGCGCCGTGCGTGGGGCCCCGATAACGCATCATGGGCATGGCAGGAGCAGAAGGGCGGAAGATCGGAGGCGCATTCGAGCCGCCTGCAGGAGGAACGCTGCGGCGCGAGGAAGAGGCAAAGCCTTCAAAGCCGGATTCAACATCGCCCCCAGGCATGTGCGGGCCGTTGAAAAGTGGCCCTCCACCGGAAGTGAGATCTCCAGGTATATCCATGAAGCGAGACGCGGAGACCCTCAAAGGATTGTGGGTAGAGTCGCCCAACCGAGGTCGCTTCGGGATGCGGACCGTAGGCCGATCATTGACCATCTCGACACGCCTGTTGGTGGAACGCGACAACGGCTCCTCATCGACGGAAGAGGAGCCGGGAGACGATGGAGACTCCATGTTACTGGACTTGCGCTTGAGCTCGCCGCCAGAGCTAGACATCCTGTGAACCATCAGAACAAAGGAAGCACGTGCAGATATAACGCCACAAACCTCGCTTTCAGACCATGGTACTTGGCCTTCATCTCTTCATACTTGATGCGAGAAGAGTTAGCGTCGGCAGTGCTCTGTCCAACAAGGATGTCGCGATCGCGGACCAGCTTGTTCATATTCTGGAGCTCGTGCCGGAGTCCATCGGCATTGCGTCTCATGACCTCGACTTCGCGTTTAGCCGCCTTGACCTGTGAGCGAGCGTCTTTTTCGCCCTGACGAAAGCGGTCAAGTGCGTCCGCAGTGTCCTTGTTACGCTGCGCCAGCTGCTCTTTCTCAAGATTGAGCTTCGCGATGCGGGCGTAGAGGCCATCGAGCTCCTTCTTGAGTTCGATCGTAGTGTTGTCGCCTCCAGGAAGATACACGCGGCGGATGGAAGGCTGCACAAAAGGCTTGTACTTGTCGGGTACACGTGCGAGATCGGGAGTCACAATTGGAAAATCCTCGCGGCACGTCGGGCACGTCGACTTGTACGGGTCGTGGGAGCCCTCGATGTGCTTGTTGAGGCATTCTTCGCAGCTAAGGTGACCTTTTGGACAGTTGAGCGAGCGATCGCTATGATATTGAGGAAAGGGACGCACCACAGGGCGTAGAGACGGGATTCTTGAGATCGTCGAGGCAGATGGGGCACTCGGAAGTCGATGCAGGAGCGGCGTTGTTGTCAGCCATGATATAGAGATATAGAAGTGTTCTAGCAGATGAAGAGAGGTATGGATTAGTTAGGGTGGCCGAGGGTGCCTTTGTCCGCACCCAGGACGCGCGGTGGCGGTTATGGTCCAAGCGCTTTCGGCACCGCGGACCGCTTCCTTACCGTGCGACAGTTGTTCTTGATTACGTAGGCACACCTGACCGCGTCAAACGCGTCAAAACTTAATCTTACAGGTGTAGCTTCGAGTGTAGCATCAGCACGAACTACCATGACCGTGCTTGTAGATCCAGATCCTCTAGAAAAGGCTTTTGTGCTTCAATTTGGTCTGAACTTCCGAACTTCCGTGCCCTGGCGACATAAGCTTCGCAATCCCATGTGACCGCGTGTTCGAAGCACCGCACGGTAATTTCGGCCTTGCGCATGAGCGCCCGAACGAGCTGCATCTGGTCACCGACGTCCACCAGCTCCGCTGCCTACCGTCAGTCCAAGTCTGACGCTCGTTTGGGTATCAATACCCCCGGTCTTCGAGAATTCGACTCGCTGTGCCATTCAACGCTAGGCAGGACTATCTGCCGACACCGAAGGGCTTCGAACCTTGATCGACAGCGTCCAAGACAGAGCGAATTAATCTCTTTGCAGAAGGGACTTGGTGCACTTTAGGTGAGCGATACACCTCCATTTGACAGCCCGTCGCGTCCGAGTTTCTCGTTCTGAGGCTGTGGCGCTCTGTCTGCTGGACGACTCTACGTGTGCATGGCGACGCCAGGGCCCCTATCGCTGCCTACGCCGAGCTCGAAAACATGTACATACTGTCGGAGATTCACCCGCTTATCTTACTCATGTGACCAGTTATTGAGCATGTACTTACCAAGAGATATATTTGTAGACTCGTTTGTCTACGCCAACGCTTCACGTTCGGTCGCATCGACACATTAGGTTCATCAGTGCGCCATTCCTCGCTTCAGTATAGTCGCAGCATATCTGACTGGTTGTCATAACTAGCGTCAGGTTATAAGCTGCAACAAGCTTTGTAGTCATGTCCACTTCCCCTACATTGACGCGCCAACCTTCGCGGCCGTCGTCGGCCAACTCGATACGGTCCACCACGTCGGCTCGGGCACCTAGTCCATCCCTTTCCACTGGCGACTCTGGTACGAGATCTCATTACTATCGGAGAGACAGTATACTCACGTCTGATAATCGTTGCAGTATCTATACGGAATCAAATGTCTTCCATACGGCACTCCATCCGCCACCAACAAGCCCAGCTCAGCACACTGGAGAGCAATCTACCGAAAGCTCAAAGACGGCGGTCCATCACCTCACCCTCACCACCACCGTCGCCGTTACCACCCAATGGGCGCACATCTCCGATGTCTCCAGACCCGTCAACTCCATCTAAGACCTCAAAACGGCGATCCAGCTATGAAATACTACAGACTCTAGCAGGTCCAGAATCGAGTCTGCCATTACCGCGTCGAGACACCGGTCCTGCGTCGCCCTCACCTTTTGGTGGCGATAGTATACCGGAAGGCATACCCGTGGATCACTCGAACGGGGCGGTGTCTCCGACAGAGGCATCACATAATAGGCGAAAGTCGAGCCCTACGCGAAGTTATAGCCGTGAGTCTCCGTGCCGATCATAACCCCGAACAACATCCTGGGAATACCGTCTGTGGCGCATCCATCTCATAAGGTTGCGCGGGCACCTTTGCTGGATTCTGATGTATCGACATCGCCTTCTCCCCCTCCTTGATGCCATCCCGCCCACTCTCTTCTTTGTCTACCATGGACGACGCTGACAGTCCGCCAGGAATACCCATCAGCTCGGTTGGCAACGCGCGCGCCCTCGCGGAAGAGATCAGCGCACCTCCCCGTTACACCTCATCGATGTCCACCCCCACGTCACTCGACACATCCCTGAAACCGCCACCCTCGCCTAACGGCGGCCCGGTCTCCCCATCACCGTCCGCCAAGCGAATGTCGCTTACACCCGGCGGCACTACAAAGGTCCTTGCCGACTTGCAAACGGGCGTCATCAACGCGCGTAACGCTCTGGAGAACACCAAGGCTCAACTACGATTGTCACAGCGCTCCGTCGCGCAGCTCACGCGGCAGACGGAGGACCTCAAGGAGGCGCGCGAGCGTTTACGTCTGGAGAATGAAGGGCTCAACAATGTCGTGGCGCGGAAGGAGCGGTTACTGCAGGAGGTTCTCGAGCGCGCACGTACGGCTGAGAGCGAGGCTGCTGCACTCAAGGCACAGCTGAAGCTCGAGACGACGACCAGCAAGAGGAGTATGAAGGAGATGGAGAGCAATCTCACCCAGGCGACGGCGACGAGCAACAAGGCCGAGCGCGAGTACATCACGTTGCGCGACAGCGTCAAGTCGATGAAGGAGGCGTGGAAGGCGGATGTCGATGGTCTACGCGAGGAGATGCGGAAGCGCGAGGAGCGTTGGCGGAAGGAGGCAGAGGACACTGCGCGGAGGCACAAGCATGCGCTTGATGACTTGCGTCGGCGTAGGGCGGGCGTCAAGACCGTCGAGGAGCTGCGCGGCGAACGGACGCGTATATCTGAAGAGGTCGAATCACAGTTCCGGAAGGACATCAGCGAATTGAGAGCTGTGATCGAAGGCGGCGCGGAGGCGAACGAGAAGGCCAACCGGACTGCAGAGTACGTTGTATGAACTTGTCTACTTGATGCTTCGCTCTAACTCCCAATAGACAGCTTGCTGAGGAACTCGCCCATCTCCGACGCCTCATGCGTCTTGCCGGGCGTGCCATCCCCGATGAACCCAAACCCGAGCCATCTATCACTACTGAGACGTAGCCAACGGCCCAACAGCTTCATAACTTATCTCATCTTCTCATATCCGCTCCTTTACTTAGGGCTCTTGCACGCTCTTTTACTGGTACTCACTCATCTATTGCTATTCTACGGAGGCCTATGCCACTCTTGTTTCTCATCGTTCGCGCTGAGGTGAAATGTTGGCCGTCTCATTGTCATGATCGGTCTTCTGAATTCTTTGCCCACGATCGATGAAGCACATGATCGTAGGTTTGCTCACGCGGCGGATGCGTGGTTCGTTCCGTTGTCTTGCTTTATATAGTTCCAGCCTTACCTTTCAGTACCCCCCATCTTCTGACGCCAAGAACTGACGTGAGTGGCTTGGTCACAGGCATAGTACCGAGACTCACGCTGGGGAAGTATGTCAACAGATCATACTATGCCATCTTCCATCCGTGAGGCCGGCGCTCCTTTCGCAAACGCAGATGCAGACATCATCCTGCGCTCCAGCGACAATGTGGATTTCCGCGCACACCGAGTACTCCTTTCCATCACCTCCCCTATCTTCGCCGACATGTTCAAACTGCCACCCGGAGAAGCAGGCGCGGACACTGGAGATGAAGAAAAGGGTGGCGTCTGTGTTGTAAAGCTGCCTGAAGACGAGAAGTCCCTTCGTATCTTGCTGGGATACTGCTATCTTGCACTCGCGCCCGTAGTGCTCAGCTCTCTCGACGATGCAGTGCGCGCTGTGATGGTCGCAGACAAGTACCAACTCTCTCGCGGTCGGGTCTTCGCGATGGAGAAGCTGAAGGATTTCGCGAAGGAGGATCCAGAACGTGTTTATGCCCTGGGGTGGAAGATGGACATGGCTGATGTCGCACGGGTGGGAGCTCGGGCGACGCTCGTTAAGCCGTACACCATCGGGCTCCCAACAATGGAGAAAGTTGGGAGCCTGCCATCTCCCGCTTTGCTGAAGCTTTTCGTCTATCAGGGCGCTTGCATTGAGGCGGCATTGGGTGTGCTAGACCTAGCCTGGTTCCAAACCGATATGCTCGTCTTGAAAACTGGCAGCTTTTGCGGGAGGACACCTTTGGGAAGGATTGGCGTTTCGCAGCTGATGCAGCAGAACTGTTCGTTCAAGTTCGAGAGATGGCCCATGTGCTCATCGCAGACCCAAGAGTTAGGGAACGGCATGTCGTGGTGCAGCATCACGGACCCCCTCAAGCGATGCTTCGACGCTATTCGTGCCGCGTTGAGAACGCACCCATGCGGCGATGCTATCGATGCTGCAAAGCTTCTCGAGATATCCACAGGCGGATTATGTGACAGCTGTGCAAGGTACCATATCGCAACTATACCGGCTTTCGCAGAGCTGCTCGCCTCTCAAGTCGAAAACGCTTTAGCCAAAGTTGGTCAGATCACCCAATGCAGATAGTACAAGACTGACCAGTAGAGCGTAGGTCCCTCTGGATATCTCCTACTGAGTTGTGGAGTAGGAAGAGAACATGGGGCCAACGCATGTATTCATTGTATTGTATACTAAGATGAACTGCCTCACAAATTGGTGGAATCTGTCTGAGCGAGGTCTATCATACAGAAGGATCAAATCGAGATCTCCGTCGAGCCCGCCTGATCAAGCCAGGCGTATCTAATCCTGAAGAGGGTCGAATGAGCGAAAGAAGCCTCACCCTGGATTCGATGTCTACATTGGACAGAGCACATGATTGTAGGGTTGCCCACGCTGTAAGTGCGCGGTGCGTTCGCCTGTCGTATATAGTCCATCCCTCTGGCGGATTGCCGTCGCAGAGACCACCTCCCTCAACCCATCTTCGCGACCCACTTCAGCCCACTTCTCAATTCTGCGGTCATGTGAGCAACTTGATCGTCAACATGTTCAGAACTTGGGCTCATGCTCGCGAAGCATGTCAACTGAACAGACTACGCCGCCCACCATCCGCGAGGCCGGCGCTCCCTTCGCCGATATAGACGCAGATATCATCTTGCGCTCGAGCGACAGCGTCGATTTCCGGGTCCACCGACTATTCCTGTCCAAAGTGTCCCCTATCTTCGCGGACATGTTCGCATTGCCACCCGGAGGTACGGATGCGATCAATGGGGATGAAGAAAGGAGTGGTATCCGCGTCGTCAAGATGCCCGAGGATGAGAAGTCCCTACGGATACTGCTGGGATACTGTTATCTCGCGTTAGAACCCGTCGCGCTCAATTCCCTCGATGACGCCGAGCGCGCTTTGGTAGCCTCGGACAAGTACCAGCTGACTCGTGGACACCTTTTTGCGATGGAGAAGCTGAAGGGGTTTGCGAAGCAGGACCCCGAGCGCGTATATGCTTTGGGATGGCGACTACGTGCAGTAGAGGTGGTGCGGATAGGGGCTTTGGAGTCGCTCGTCAAACCGTACACCGTCGAGCTACCAAGTAGGCAGAAGGCTGGAGACTTGCCATCTTCCGCTTTACTGGAACTTCTTACCTATCAGCGCGCGTGCATCGAAGCGGCGTTAGGTGTGATGGACATGCATTGGCTTGAACCTCATACCATCCAGATAAAATCCGGTGAATTTGCCGGAAGGAAGCCTCTGGGAAATATCGTTCAAGGATTCCAACAATCCCATCTTGTGCAGGAAAAGTGTGAGCCTAATGGTGGTATGTGTCGTGCGGCGCAGGAAGCCGAGTCAAGACGCTGGAGGACGGACAATGGAAGGAACTTGCACGTGTACCCTTCCCTCTATCGATGCTTCGACATCATCAAAACGGCGCTGAAGACACACCCACGCGGCATTGCCATCGACCACGAAGCACTCGTTCAGACAGCCGCATTGACAGCCTTCAGCACTCCGAGAAGCGCCGCATGCGAGGACTGCTCGAAGTACCAGGTCGCGACCGTGGCCGCTTTCACGAGAGTGATCGCACAACAAGTCGAAAAGGCTTTGGCCGAGGTGAGACTTATCTATCACGAGCATAGACGTATGGCTTACCATCCGAACATAGGTCCCTCTGGAAACGCCGTTCTGGTGCAGGAGACGTAGGGCGAAGACACCTTATAGAGTTCTGCGCTGTTCATAATCTTGTCTGCTCGTTATATGTAACCCATTCAGGTTCGTCGGACGACAGTCGTACTATACGACGCGCTTCGCGCTCCTTATTGATCGAATCGATTCCCTGAGCCCTGACCGCGCGTGAGATACCCGCCTAACTTAATCATGCGTCTGTATGGGTCGACGCTGTATCCGTTGAGTTGGATCCGCGAGCTCTGTGACCAAAGATAGGGATCGGGCGCGGGGTGCGTGTGTGGTGGGTTCTGAAGGAGTTCTCTACATCGTTGACGTGAAGCCTAGATAAGGGTGGTCAGCCCTCTGTTTGTCTGCTGCCAATGGGCGAAGGGGTGGGGATATATACATACAGCTTGCCGCCGTTCTTGATGATTGTCCCACATAGGCTCTATATTCACACTGTTCGACAGACACATGACTGTAGAGTTGCCCACGCGGCAGATCTGAGGGCGTTTACTCGTCGTATATAGTTCCAGCCCTTCGGTGGATTGCTCTCCCTCAACCCATCATCGCGGACTGGCGCTTCTTGATACTGGGGCTTATCGTGAGCAACTCCGGCGTCACCATGTCCAGAAGTAATACTCACGTGAGCGAAGAACATGCCAACTGATGAATCTATGCCACCTTCCATTCGCGAGGCCGGCGCTCCCTTCGACGCTGGAGACGCAGACATCATCCTGCGGTCCAGCGACAACGTGGACTTCCGCGCCCATAGACTGTTCCTCTCGAAAGCATCCCCCTTCTTCGCGGACATGCTCTCCTTGCCACCGGGCCCCACCGTCGACGAAGAGAAGGATGGCATCCGCGTCGTCAACATGTCTGAGGACGAAGAGTCGCTCCGTATCCTAGTCGGATACTGTTATCTTGCGCTGCAACCCGTAGTTCTCGACACACTCGAAGACGCCGAACGTGCCCTGCGAGTCGCGGACAAGTTTCAGCTTGAGCGCGCACGGACCAGAGCGGTGAACAAGTTGAGGGTGTTCGCGAAGCAAGAGCCTGAACGCGTGTATGCCTTCGGATGGAGGCTGCGTTCTCGGGACGTCGTCTTGGCCGGCGCTTTAGCATCGCTCGCGAAGCCTTATACCGTTGCGCTTCCAACGTTACAGGGCGCCGAGGACCTGCCGTCCACGATCTTATTCAAACTATTAGCCTATCAAAAGGCGTGCATCGACGCAGCACAGAGTGTGTTCGATCTATCTTGGCTTGGCCTAGTTCAGCTCCGGATTGAGAGTGTGGAAGCGGCTCGGGAGTATCCCTTTGTGCGGCGCGCTCTCCCCGACTCGACCGGCCATACGATTGATCAGTTAAACTGCATGAATCGGTACACCGACTGTGTGTTCAAGCATGACAGAGTCACTATTAACCCGTGCGAAGGAGACGTGGCCTCTATCTCCTCCGCGGTAGCGCAGTGTTTGGACGAAGCCCGTTCGGCTCTGAAGCTCCACCCGCGGGGAGAGGCTGTTAAGTGCAATGCACTCTTCCAGCTCTCGGCCCCTACTGCGTTCAGCAACGCTTGCCCAGTATGCGCGAATTACCATCTTAGGCTTCTACCGCCCTTGGTAGAGTTGCTTGCGTCTACAGTTGAGCGGGCTATAGCCAAGGTCAGTCTCTATCGTCGATGCCGCCAGTGTATTGGCTCACCTTCCCGAGCAGGTTCCGCTGGAAACGCCCTTTGAATAGCGTTACACGCAGTTGTGAGCATCTAGACGTGGGGTTACCGTTAGCAATACAACCTTTCATACAATGCGTTGAGAGAGAAAGTGTTCAGCTTTCCGTTCTTGACGATCGCCAGACCCGGTTTCTGTACCAGCGTACCAGAGTCCAAGCGACCGCAAGAGCATCATCGAGCGTTCGCTCTCCGCAGTTTGCGTTGGCATCATAGGAATAGAGGGAGATGACGAACAGACTTACTCGAGGAGAAGGTTCTGGTGTCCGAGTGCAGCCTTGCCGCATACACGTTGCGAATACAGTCGAAGGCTATGAGGGCGTAGCGATTCATACGCGACGGGGGTGGCTCCAACATCCTGCGCAACCCTGCCAGGCCTCGGACGCATGGCAGCATGTAGTTGGATTGAGCATGAAGGGTAGTTGGACAACCAAGGATAGATAGGCGCCTGCAAGATAAGCGCGTCATCGCCACAGGGATAACCGGGCGGCACGCTGAGACCAGAGCGGATGAAGAGCGAGACCCTACTCCTCGCGCACGAGTTGGCTAGTCTTGAGCATTGTTCAGACGTAGAGCACGCTCGTCCAACGTATAGCCAAGCAGGTACATTCGCCACTCGTCATGGCCATGGTCATGGTCAAAGCCCAACTCCCCTACGCGGGCCCGAGGCCGCAGGGGCCTGTACCGCGGGCCGCCGGGAGACTGAGCCCAGACCAGTCGTCGAGGGATCGGATGCGCTGCGTCACCTCGTCATCGAGCTGTCGACTTGCCGAAAAGGCGACAAAAACGTGGCTCGGGCTAGTGTGGCTCAGGAACGGCATCAGAGAGGGGGGAAATTGCCGAGACCCGCGCGACTGCGAGCGAAGGGCTTCTTGTGAAGGGAAGGAGGCGCCTTTGCCTTTCGGCTTTCATCATCCTTTCGACTTTGACTGGTGCCAACTACGGTTTGTGATTTCTTTGTTGTGCACATATGATTTGTTTATATGTATGTGATAGGGTCAGCGGGTGCATTCGTTCGTGCTCCGCGGTAGTCGCCCACCCATGAGCCCGGCCTGGTCCTCCTCGCGCACGATCTCCAAGTCATCCGCGTCCTCTCCATGGCCCGATATTGAACTCGAGAAACACGCCATGAGCCGCCAAATGTCGCGAACGCCCGACTACGACGACAGCGCCGAGGAGCTGCCCCCGCCCGTCATCGCAAAGTCCGCAAAGTCCTCCAAGTCCGTCACGGGGTCCACGTCCACCAAGCAGAAGAAGAGCGCGAGGATCGAGGGGGTGCCTGGGGGACTGCGCGTGCACTGGGCGCGGCTGAGGCGGCGGCTGGGCACGGGGACGAGTCCGAGCACGAGCGACAGTCTGCTGGACGAGAGCGCGGGAGGGGACAGCAGCACGACGAGGCACAACCTCGTGGGAACGTACGAGGACGGGGACGAGGTGAACGAGGTCGTCGTCGACCGCGTATGGTCAGAGGAACTCCACTCCGTGTGCGTTTGTATTCATAGCCATTTCCCCGCATTGCCACTCACCCGCAATATATCCTTTTCCAGAAGCGTCAGCGAGCAGGACGGCTCGCCCAAGAAATCAGACAGCCACGCCGTCGGCGGCACCAACACCGACCACGAGAGCCTCGCCATCCATGCCGACGGCTTCTGGGCCCTCTGCACGCCCCTCATCATCCTCCGCTGGCGCGTGTGGCCCTACGTCCTCGACTTTTTCTCTCTCCGCTTCTTCGACGAGAAGGCCGAGGCGCACTACATCAAGGAGAACTGGTTCATGCGCAAGGCACTCGCGCTCTGGGCGGCCGTCTTCCTCATCATCAACTGGGTGCTCTCGACTATATTCGTACCAGGCCCGCGCGTGCTCGCCGACGAGATATTCTTCTACGGCGTCGCCCCGGCTCTGACGTTCCCCGTCCTTCTCATGATCATGTGGGACTTCCCGCGCGACAGGCCGACGCTGTACCAGGTCTACCTGAACATCTCCATCTGGGCATGGCCGCTATATCAAGTCCTGTTCATCTTCCTCTGCGGCTTTTACACACACCCGGGCTCGAAGAAGGGGTGGCTGTTCTCGTGCGGCAATAGGGACTTCCTCGCGACGTTCTACTACGCCGTCGGCATGCCCACTATCGGACTGTTTGGGCTTCGCCTCAAGCGCTTCCCTGCATTCGTGGGGACGTGTATCTGGGCGGGCTTTGTCATTGGGACTGTGCTACCTTTCCGCACGGGCTGGACACGCAGTACGTCCTATCATATCGCACATTCATCGCAGACAGATACTGATTGCCGCACTCACAGACCTCCTGAACTTCATCGTCTTCCAGTTCTTCCTCATCTATCTGCACTATATGCTCGAAACGGGCGAACGCAGACTATACACCCTCCGCGACCAGCTCAAGATCCAGTTCCGCGCAACGCAAAAGGCGCAGGTCAACGAGCGCAAGGCGGGCGATTCGAAGCGGCGCCTCACGTCTTACGTGTTCCACGAAGTCCGCGTACCGCTCAACACAGCCCTCCTGGCGCTACAGAACATCCAAGCCGCAAATGCCGTAGCGCCCGAACAGGAGATCGAGTTCAAGGCGTTGGAGGGTAGCCTGAGTATGATGTCCAAGGTGCGAAGCCCATTCCCTCGCCAAATTCAGAATAGGGTGTGCTGAACGCGGTGTGCGAAGGTCCTCAACGACGTGCTCGACTTCAACCGTATGGACAGCGGACGGTTCGAGAGCGTCAGCAGGCCGTATACGTTCCATCAAGTCATGCGAGGCCTGTTCGTGCCGCTACGGCTGGCTGCAGATGCGAGAGGACTGGACTTTGTCACGGATCTCGACGTCCGGATCGACAGGGTGCGTGTCTCAGACTCTCAGTCCACAGTTCCACACTTCACGCATGCACGTTCGCTGTCTATTCTGTCTTGCGATTCGTGGAGCGCGCGTGGGTGCAGGCGCCCACACCTCCATTCAGTCTCTCCCTTCCCTCTTTCGCTATCTTGCCGCCCGCGCCTGAGCGAATGTTACTAATTCCGGACAATTTGATATTTGACAGGTTGCGCGCTTCGCCGCGCTCACGGCCAAAGGCCTCAAACACGAGGACGTGCTGCGCGAGCTCGAGGCGTCGCCCGACGCCGACGGCATCCTCGTCGGCGACGAGACGCGCCTGATGCAGATCGTGACGAATCTCGCGTCCAACGCGTGCAAGTTCACGCCTCCGGGCGGGCAGCTGCGCGTGGCTACTAAGCTCGTCGTCCCGTCTAATGTGTGGACGCCGAGAACGGAGAGCGAGAAGAGGGAGTGTGGGAATGGGGTGTTGGGCGTGGATAGTAGTGCGAACGCGGGTGGGGAGGGGGAGATGGGCGAGAAGGGCGAGAGGGTGGGAGGGGAGGAGAGGAGGGGCGAGGGGGAGCTGAGCGCGACGAGCTTGAGCATGCATAATCTTAGGCATTCGAAGCCGCCGGAGGTTGTGGTTGTTAGGATCGAGGTGCAGGATACGGGCTTTGGGATTCCGCCCAAGGAGATGGAGCAGAGCAAGCTTTTCTGTACGTCCCTTTTCTCCTTCTGTTCTTGCTTTCGTCGACGAACTGACATCCATCTCACAGCCGCGTTCAATCAGACTGAACAAGGCAAACAACAAGGCGGTAAAGGCACCGGTCTCGGTCTCGCACTCGTCCGACAGATCGTCAAACGCTCAGGCGGTCGACTAGGCGTCATCTCAAAGGTCGGCCGCGGATCCACGTTCTGGGTCGAGCTTCCTCTCGGCGTAGGCGCCAAAGCACTCGCACAGCCCAACGCGCACGAGCTCGCGAACCGTGGGGACGTCTCAAAGAGCGTCGCCGAAGACCTCATGTCGCGGCAGATGAACGACGCGGGCGCTATGCGTCGCGCGAATGGACCATCGAAGTTCGGAAACGGGATCGGCACGGACAAGAGCGGGGCGACTAAGAAAGCGCGGCCGAGCAGCGTGATGCACAACATCATGGACCAAGGCGGCCTCGTCGAGATCGCCGCCAAATCCGAGGACAGCGGGAACGGGAGCATCATCACGCGGACAATGGCCGACACCTTGTTACCGTCCACAGCACATCTCGAGGACACGCTGTCCATGCCGAAGAGCAACACGCCCACTTCTATCCCGGAGCATTCGGCGTCGGACGGGTCGACGCCGGGCAGCGAGGAGGCGCCCAGTTTGGCGCCCAGCGGTGCAAGCGCCGCACCGGGGCGCATTGAGCTGCCGCCGCCTTTGTTCGATCCGCTTGTGGCGCGGCCGTTGGGGAGCGGTACGAGTAGCTATGGAAGCGCGAGTACGGCTGTGAATACGCCTGCGTCGACGAGCCTTGCTACGCCCCCGCCGAACTTGAGGAAGATATCGGAGCCGATACCGGAAACGGAGACGGATGGGCAGCGGCCGCCCGCGCAGCCTGCACCGGCTATCGCGTCTGCGCCCGCACCTTCGAAGCCGGCGAAGGTCAAGGATAAGGACGATATGTCTATTCCGCCCGGGCTGGACGTGTTGGTCGTGGACGACGACCCGCTCACGCGCATGCTCATGACGCGGCTCCTCACGCGTCTGGGGTGCAAAGTCGCAACAGCGGAGAACGGCGAGCTCGCGCTCGAGATGATACTCGGTCCATTGGCGCGTCCGTCACCCGCGAGCGAACAGCCCAGCATCAAGTTCGCAGACGAAGCCACGGGCGCGCGATCCGAGAACTCCCACACAACGCCCGCTCAAAGCCAGCGTCCGCCCTCCCTAATCCAACAACACCGCCAAGCGCAATCCCAAACACCCTCCAAATACGCCATCGTCTTCCTCGACAACCAGATGCCCGTGCTCAGCGGAATCTCCGCCGTGGCGCGGCTGCGAGAGCTCGGGCGGAACGATTTCGTTGTGGGTGTGACGGGAAACGCGCTGTTGAGCGATCAGGAGGAGTATTTGGAGGCGGGGGTCGATCATGTGCTTACGAAGCCGGTGCTGGAGAGGAGCTTGAAGGGGATGTTGGTGTTGGCTGCTGAGAGGAGGATGGATGGGGAGGGGAGGGATAGGAGTAATGGCGAGTTGCCTGGGCCGGATCCGCCGCCTAGCGCTTAGTGCCGTTGCGCATCTTCTGCTCCGACTCTTCTCTCGTACTCCCTCGGACATCTCGCTCGCCTTTGCACTCGTACTTCGTCTTCACCGCTTGCATCTTCTTCTCCGTTCGCATCTTCTCGCCGGGCTCCTCGTCCTCATATCTTTCTTGGGCTCCCCTCTTACGATCGCATGACCGTTCTCAGTACCAGTACCCATTCCGCTTGTTGTCACCCTTGCTCTGCTAGCCTGCACATTAGTCTTGGTCTCATCCGCATACCTCCACACCCATCGTCAGCCATCTTCAGCATTGCTTCGTTCCATTTAGTCTTACCTACATGCGCATCTTATCCTGATTTTTCTGATATCTGACTGCTGAATCTGTCTTCGCTCATGATTATATTTGTATCTAAACTAGTCATCCGTTCGCTTATCAATGCCTATCGTTTCCACGATCATATATCTACATTCGCTAGGTCCTAGAACGGTGTTTCCAGATGCACCTATAACACAAAGCATGTGAACATTGACACTTTCAAGTTGAGACCAATTATGCGTACCTCGTCGATAACCTTCTCGACTTGGGCAGAGAGTAACTTTGCCATTCTTGGAACCACTCTCAACGCTTGTTCTGCACAGCTGTTACTGATGCACTCCAACTCGACCGATGCTGCTTTCAGTGCCGGGTACATAACGTCGTACGCTTCGACTGAACTTCCCCGGGCGCATTTTCGAAGTGCGCCCCGTGCCGATGTGAAGTACGTATATAACCAAGGCAGGAGTGCCCACTGCCAGCGACCGTCGTTTGCCCAAAGTTGCATGCGGGCCTTTTCATTTGGGCAGGCCAGTGGTGACGAACAAATATGCTCGTAAGTTCCATCCCAGTCCTCGTAGTCGGGCTCGATGTATGCGCCAGGGAAGATTTCGTCATCGAGCCAGTCACTGTGGGTGGCCGCCTTTACGGCTGCAATCTTGCATTGCTGCTGGTACTGAAAAAGTCGGAGTACTGCAGTTCCAGGGACGTTCTCGAACTCTGGGATATTTGGGATATCCTCCGTGAAGGGTTGGGAAAGGGATGCGCGTGCGGCCTGAAGAAGCAGGGGTCTATTGCGTTGTGTCCATGCTATCGCATATACTTGCACCGGCTTTGTTTGGGAGAGCGTTGACAGAGCTCGTATAGCGAGTGCGTGCATCTCGTCTACGTGGTACTTGTCGGACAGGTGTAACGCAATTTGAAGGTCCTCGAGCGCGTCAGGTGCGAACTCGGCGGCTTCTTTGGGGCGTAGGACGTTGGGTAACCTCCAGTAGCAGTAGTCGAGTAAGAACCGGATGGCACGCTCTGTTTCGGCTACCTCCATGAGGGCGGGTTCCGTCGAAGGTGGTGCGGGTAGAGATAGGATGTCTGCAAAGACTGGCGAGCATTTGGCCAGTAGCAATCGATGCATACGGAAGTTGACCCCGTCGGATGTTCGAAGAATGAGATCGGCATCAGGCTCCGCGAAAGGTGGGCCGGCTTCACGAGTCGGGGGTTGAGTCTGGTCCATGTCCATGTCCAAGCTTCAAGCCTCACGGTATAGAAACGGGATAGTGATTTGTTCAGGCGATTGCGGCCAACTTGCAGGATCATGGAGGCGGCAAACAAGTCGCGACTTGTGGAGGTCATCCACGGCATACGCCGGGTTGGGTTTCCACGCCGTCGATTGCAGTCTACTGAGCTCTCGTTAACTGGCGGTCAGCTTCGTGCAGCTTGACTTTGTGATCGACAGTGGGCGGGTGATACCGTCGCGGACGCAGTGAAGATGCTGCAGATTCAGTGAGTGTAGCGGGCTGTTTGCAAGGACAATGGAGCGGCTGCAGATGGAATTCGTGTGTATGATAATCATGTACAACGAATCCGGTTTCCATGATACGAAGACGCAGGATACAGAGTGCAAGTTCGAAAAAGACCCACAAGGCCAAGACTACAAGGCCAAGACTACATATCCTAAAGAATGGCTCAACGAGCCAATGGTAGCAGGGTCCTACTTCACATAGCAGATTCCAACTCCACCTAGAGGTACATGTCAACAACATGTGCTGGGCTTTGATACCAGAGACACACCTGAAGGATCACAGCATCGACGCGAGAAGTAAGTAGACGCGCGAAGTTGAGAAGGGCACTAGCTGCGATCTTCCCGCAACTTGTACACAAGGAGGCCTCCTCGAATGCAGGTCGCAGCGTATCAAAGCGCTCGAGCACTGCACTATTGGCGCTGTCATGCAGCGCTCCCCGGGCAGTCTCCAAGTATGTCATAACCCATGGCTTTGGTTTGAAGGTCCAAGCGTCCTCGAGCTTGAGCGGGAGTTGTGCGAGCGCATGAACGCACTTATCGCCCGAGTCGCATGTCTGCCACACGAGGCCATAGCCTTTGTATGCGTCCTTAAATGGTATTTCCACCCGTCGGAGCCAGCGCAGATCCATCACCGCATCTACCGCGCGCTCGCTACACGCCTGTTGGAACCGCAGCAGTCGCAGGACGTCGAAGCCTGACACGTCCGTGAACTCTGGGTACAAAGGGATCCGCCCTTTCGTGAGAATGGGGCGGGAAAGCGAGGCGCGGGCGGCTACGAGTGCTACTGAGCGTAGGTTGTACGCCGACGCGACTGCGTACACTTGCTCGGGAGCATCTGCGGCGAGGAGCTTGAGGCCCGGCTGGACGTAGCGAGCCACGCCTTGCATCTGAAACTTTTGCGCCAATCGCAGAGCGAGCTTGAGCAACTCGAGGTCTTCCAGGATAGGCTCCATCACAGGGTAAAAGAAGCCGAGTAAAAGCCGAAGCGCGCGCTCGTCTTCGGCCATGTGAACGACGATGAGCCCGTCTCGATGTTCGTCCACTGAACCACCAATCTCAGGTGAAGGTGGTGGAAGGTCGAACATGTCTGCGAAGACGGGGGAGGCTACGGCCAGTACTTGTCGGTGTACCCGGAAGTCGACGTTATCGGTCGAGCGCAGTATTAGGTCAGCTGCATCATCGTTGAATGGTGGGAGTGCGTTCCGCACAGGACCATCGTCGTGGAACACCATTTGTTTGCGATATGCCCGAAGAGGATCTTGAGGTGGCAGGGCTTGCAAACCCGTAGAGGAGGATGACACCGCAGCGTGCAAGGGGAAGCGAGCAGGGGGCCGCACAGGATGGCGTGCTCGCCCAGCTTGTCCACACTTATGGGATGATGCTCATCATAGAAGCTGCGGGTCAATCGTGATACAGACGATACGCACACGGGATGAGCCAAGTCCGAAACCTAGATATGGTGTTGTGGGGTATGACAACCAGTGCCACTCTCGCGCGATAGGATCATGGGTGCGTGTTTAGCAATATCGTCTTCATGTCGGTTGTCGGTCATAAGTAGCCTGGTGCGGATGTCGATGGATAACTGAGTACAAGCCGGATCGGACTGGGGAGAGATAAGCGCTAGATCCTGGTGTAGAGCTTCAAGGATGAAGCGCCTTGCAGTGGGACGTCCGATCGCGAGTCACTGTCAAGCTGTATCAGGCAAGGACGTTCCCTCGCATTCCCGCAGGCGAGCTGGAGAAAACCCACGTCGAGCATGGGTGCGTAGACTCCGTGGCATGATAGAGTAGTGAATGTCTGGCTGTACACTTGCAATCGGGATCCCTCTGATAAACCTCTACGACGAGCCGTAGCATTGACAGCGTGAGCAGAATGGGTCACGTCGTGCGCCTTTTCGAAAGAACCTTCACGGTCACCACATGATCATGTTGAGCCCTATGCAGGGAGTATTGCACTCATAGTGAACCGAAGGTCAAGCGGAATGGGAGTTGTTCATCATGATCGCCGTCCGGTGCAAGGAATGCCGCGGTGCGGGTGAGCGAGTGAGCCTAGACAGAATTCACGGCAATCACCGAGAACACGAACTGCGCGTGACCGCGTGCGTGGTTCGCGTCGCGCTTGAGGTGAACGCGCCGATCGAACTCAAGCCGCGACCTCCATCGCGTGTGCAGGTACACCGCTTGCAAAGGTCAGATATATTCAGCTATGCATAGACCTCACGAAGTCTGACTGACTTTCGGAATGAAACCAGATGGCTCAAGCACAAACGCCCGCCGCTGGGCAAGGCAAGAAGCAACTGCATTGGGCGGTTCAATTCGCCGCATCACCGATAGCTTCATCCGACTCGCGCGACACCTCCATCGCAGATCCTGCACCCGCAACCTTACAATATGTCAACTCTCAACTCATTGCTCATGGGTTTACCTCGGCGCCTGGCATTTCACTAGATGGACTCTCAGGTTCGAAAGCCGACAACGTAGTCAAGACCTTATTTGCTCTATTAGGGCAACGGATGGTACGCATGCATGTATTGTCATCTAGTAATCTGCTGATGTAATTGCATTAGGAAGACTTGCAGCGCACGGAAGACCTCTCTACGAAGCTGCGAACACTGTCATACGACTACGAACGTTTGATGACTATGCACAAATCGGCCAGCACAGCAGCAGCGGAGGCTGAACGAGAAGCCAGTACCGTGAAATCGAAGCTTGCGTGAGTTAATGATGAAATTAAGCTAAGATGACATTCTGACGTTGCAGGCCACAGTAACTCTGCGAAGGCCCTAGCCCAATCGGAAGCCGCGCATAAGCAGACGCAGGTTGAACTTCAGCGCACGCGCACCTCTCTACAAGCTTTACGCTCGCAACATGTAGCAGAGATTAAGAAACGCGACGCCGAACATACGCGAATGGCCGACCGATGGTCGAAACTATCTGATTCGCAACTCAAAGTTCACACCATCCCAGCACGCTTGACAATGTCTTCTCCGGCCCTACCTTCCTCCGCAGCAAATGCACACATACTCAAAGGCGGACAGAAGACATTTGTGGATGCGGCTTTGGAAGCATCCGAATCGGCGGCCAAGCAGTTGAGGGAGGAGAATGCAGGACTGCGTCAACTCGTCCTTGATTCAGCAAACGCTGTACGCAAGATACTACATAAGGCCACGGTGCCCGATCCGGATGACTTCATATATGTGCGTATGTTTGCCCTTTGTCTGTATGATGACGCTCATCGCAGAGTTTCATCGTGTGCAGCCCGCACCACTCGAGGTCGCCGACGTCTTCGCTCCATGTGCTACCTCCGCCGCCGAAGGCGCTTTCACCAAACTGAGCGAACTTCTGACTGCACTTCGAAACGCTGTAACGGCTCTACGCTCGGACGAACCCAGGCCTATTACTTCCGCCGCCGCTGCAAACGCCGGACCCTCGCGACCAGACGCACAGGCTGAGGTAGACCGCTTACAGCGGACCGTCGAAGCCTTGTGCGAGGAGTTGGGTAAGAAGCGCAATGTCACGTTGTTGTATCCGATGCTGACATCAATCTTAGAACTGGCCCAGAGTGACGCGCGCGCTCATGCGACACGCGCTGAAGACCTTTTCGCCCAGTTGTCCGCAAAGCCGTCTGTGGATACGAAGGTCGCAGACGAATTAGAATCGCAACGACTGGCTGTTGATGAAGCTGCGTTGAATGTCGGGCGTGACCGCGCCGCGCTTGAAAGCGAGCGCCTCCAGTTCCTCGCCGATAAGCGTGCATGGGAAATGAGTCGCATTCTCGCCAATGAAGCGCCCGCCCGCCCGACCTTGCCTCATCCTGTCAGGGACGCGTCGCTAGCCCGTTCGCCACCACCTTCGCCACCCCCTCAGCGTCCCGCCCATGCGCCCTCACCACATCGATCTCCTCGCAAGGCACGACCTCATGCCGTATCTCCACGAAAGCCCAAGCATAAATCTCCGCTAAAGCCGGCTAAGTCACGAGTAACAGCGGCTTATGAAACGGAGGTCGTTCCCGCTCCTCAACAGAAGTTGCTCCGGACCAGCTTTGCGCTTCCACCACCTACTCCGCAATCCCGGATAGCTCCCCTGAACTTCGGAGAGAAGAAGGCGAAACAAAGCGACGGCGAAAAACGTTTAGCTGCTCTCTTTACGGACACGGATAAGGCACCGGCGTGGCCCAAGGCTACTGAAAGTCAGGCAGCGGATGAGGCAGCAGCGGAAAGCACAACACCACCTTTTCCTCCGGTCGCGTCAGGGTCTGGCGGAAAGCCCTCGGTACCGGCAGCCGCTGCGCCAGTACTATCTACGGCTGGTCCTGCGAAGAATCCCTTCCCGGTTGCGAGGGTCAACGCTCCTCGTATGGTACATGCCTACTCGCCCGCGCGACCTTCGCCGCTCTCGCGCATCCTGGCGCTCGCCCAGTCTCCCGAGTCCTCAACGTCAGGTCCGCCCAAGCTGCCGGCAGCTTTTGCGGCCCTTCAGGAGAGCGAACTTCAGACTGTTGCGACCGATCCGTCTACGTCAGGCTCGGGGTCCGGCATGATTGACGAGGAGAGCCCACTACGTGACAAGGCGCCTAGCACGGCGACAACTCGAGCCGATGACAAGAAGGGGAAGCGCCGTGCAGATGGTCGTGCAGGCGCTGAAGAGAAGGAGAACACTATTCGGCGTAAACTGCGCGGTCCGGCACATGCGCCACGTCCACCAGTCGTGAAGAAGAGTACCGGGCCTGGTGCTGGTGCAGTTGTGAAGAAGACTGGCGCCGGATCCAGCACGGCGGCAGGTCCAAGTAGGACAGGGGCAAGACCGGCACCGAGCGCTGCTGCCGGCAAAGGGCCGCGTAGGGTACCCGTAGCTGGGAGTGAAAGCACGCGTTGAGATACTGTACTCGTTTTGCTGCGGTTCATCATTTTGCTTTGTTACTTCATTGCATCGCTATCGTTTTCACGTCTCATGCTGCTCTCTCTGTATACCAACTATCTGTACATTGTCTAGATACCATTCGGAGTGTGCCCACCTGTCCTTTGCGCAACCGATGCTTGAGTCCAAGTCTTCAACCGAGGCGTACATACAACCTGTCAGAAGTGTGATGGTGCTTGCAGTCTGCGGCAAATCGCGGGCCGGTCGATCGCGCCGAATTCCGCCTGCGGGATTTACCTCTCGACGACGATGTCGTTCTCGTCACAGTCGTTGGGCGCGTCCGTACATCCGGTCTTATCCGCTGTGCCACAAAACGGAGCCTTCCATAAATATCAGAACCAGGCCCTCGCTATGGTGCTCTAGCTTTGTCTCGACTATTCGGGCAGGCCCAAATGAAGCTCCCGATACCCGCTCGATTCTCTCATGCTACCCTCGGCGCTGACGGCTGCGCGCTTTTCTATTGTCGGTGGACCTAGTGGATGGCATGCCCTGGATACCCTTACTTCTGGTCGGAGTCAGAAGTTTAGGTTGACCATCGCGGTGACGGTTGGTCCATGGCCTCGTGTATCGCGCTGCTGGCTGCGTCCTCGACGAAGATCCTCCTGCGCCTGCCGTTGTCAGTTCTGATACCATCGACTTTGCATGACACTGTCAACTGGAGAACATATCTGGCGCGCTCTCTGCAGTGCGCGACCCCACGTAAATCTGAATTCGGACGCCGTCGCGGTTCGTAACCTCGGGCGGCGTGTGTCATCGATTCTCGTACTTTTCAGGCATCACTACGGCGGAGCAGGCGATGTGCTCTGAGCAACTCGTACCCATGCGAGTGCCATTCTGACGTTGACACACGCCCGTGCTGGCAGATCAGCGCTTTCGATGTCGGCGTGGTGCGCAGGGACAGAGACCTGTGTTCAGGACAAGCGGTCTGAGTAGTCACTTGACCGCGGTTGCATATAAGGATGTCTTTCGTTCTGGTTCTTATTCGTCTCACCATCCCCTCTTAAATCTTCTACTTCACTTCTCAACTTCTACTTCTCAACCAAAACAACCATGTCTGGAACTGGTGCACCCATCTCGGCTCCCACGGTCAAGTCGATGTTCGCCAGCGGCGTCGACGCGATCCCACTCGACGAGGTCCCGCATCTTTACGGCGGTGAGACAGCTCCCGCTCCCCTGAACATCATCGTCGTTGGCGCCGGCCTCGGTGGTCTTTCGGCCGTGCACACTCTCGCCCAGGGCGGCCACAAGGTGACGCTCCTCGAGGCCGCGCCTAAGCTCGGCGATGTTGGCGCCGGTATCCAGGTGTCGCCGAACGCGTCCCGTTTGCTCATCCGCTGGGGTCTCAAGAGCGCGCTCGAGTCTTCGGCAGTCAAACCCCATGCCATTGTCTTCAACCGCTACAACACCGGCGAGCGCGTCGGCTACACCCGCTGGGGCGACCTGATGGACGAGACATACGGCGCTCCCTACCTCCACATCCACCGCGCCGACTACCACGCCATGCTCCTCCGCCTCGCCAAGGCCGCTCCCGGTGTGACCGTCCGTCTTGGTGCCTTCGTCACCGATGTTCAGCCCGATCCGGCTGCTGAGGGTGGCCCGAGCGTTACCCTCGCGAGCGGCGAGGTTCTCCATGCCGACCTCATCGTCGGCGCTGACGGTGTCAAGAGCCGCATCCAGTCGATCGTCACTGGCCAGCCCCCTGAGGACCCTGAGCCCACCGGCGACTGCGCTTACCGCGCGACGATTCCCACCGAGCTCCTCCTCAAGGACCCCGAGCTCAAGCCCTTCGTTGACGAGCCCAACATGATGGCGTGGATGGCACCTGGCCGCCACTTGATGGCGTACAACATCCGTAGCATGCAGGAGTACAACATGGTTCTTCTTCTCCCTGACGACGGTTCCGTTGAGGCGTGGGATGTTGAGGGTTCTGCGGACAAGATGCGCGCAGACTTCGGCGACTTTGAGCCTCGGTATGCATTGATCCTGCTCATCGCATCGACCTTATACTGAAGTACTACCACAGTGTCCAGAAGTTGTTGGGCTTCGTCACCTCGACGCTCAAGTGGCGCCTCATGGGCCGCAAGCCCCTGCCCACCTGGGTGCACCCCGCTGGCCGCGTCGTCTTGCTCGGCGACTCTTGCCACCCCATGCTTGTATGTCAGGACCAGCCTCCATCTCACACTCGCGCTGATTATACTTCTCTCTAGCCGTATCGTGCTCAGGGTGCCGCCATGGCCGTTGAGGACGCCGGTGTTCTCGGTGCTCTCCTCCAGAAGGTCTCGCACGTCGACCAGCTCCCCTCGCTCCTCAAGGCGTACCAGGAGCTCCGCTTCGACCGCTGCACTGAGACCCAGCGCTCGTCGCGCCTTAACCGCCACATCTTCCATCTCGAGGACGGTCCCGAGCAGGAGGCGCGTGATGCCAGCATGCGCGTCGCCATGGCCGCTGAGTCGGTCTACCCCGCCCCGGCGCGTCTCCCTGAGGGCAGCCTCGATGGCAACGCCAACCAGTGGGCTGACCGCACCAAGAGCATCGCGCAGTTCGGCTACGACGCTGACAAGCAGGTTGACGCCTGGTGGGCGGAGCACCGCGAGGAGGTCCTCGCTATCGGCTCGGAGCAGGCTAAGCTCTAGATACATACCTACTAATCTTACTTGATCTCCTTTCGGTCGCTGCTCATTTATTCTCGGACATTCTCTTGCTGTATACGAATATAGACGATCGCTCACGCTGTATGTACACACTATAGAAGCTGCTTTACTTACTGTACTGTACAAGCAATGTTACTCTCTTGTACTCATCCACCCCAGTCCGATCACACAGCATCGCGCACAGTTCGAGGTTCGTGAGTATCATGGCATATCTGTCCGTGGGTATAGTACAAGGTCATCGATTCGTGATGGGGGGGCAGTGTTTGCTTGATCACACGGACGTAATGCTGAGAGTCTTGCCGTGCGTCTTCGGGGACCCCGATAACGTAGCATTATCGTCGTCGGTGTATGGTCCAGACACTGAGGGCGATGCGACATGCCGAAGCGCATGCTGTTCTGAGGGGCGAGAGCGATGCGTGGCTGCGTGGCCGTGGGGCGCATCGCCGCCGAGAAGGGTCTTGTGGCTGGCCAAAAGCAGGACCAGAATGGTGGGATGCAAAGCCTATAGAGGGTCGACATAAGCCATGGTCGGTATCAATGCAGCCCATGACACTCACTACGACGATGGATAAGATGCTTTGCATCAGGAAGGCGAAGAGCTGAGTAGTCCACGCTCCGACTGCGAACATAAGCTAGGTGAAGTGTCAGTCACACGTCTTCATTGATAGCGGATCGGCCATACCCAGAGAGATGTGTACGCCAGCCCCGACTCGACGACAACGACGAAGAGGCGTTCAAGGGTCGGTGGCTGGTTAAACTGTGCGAAGGCAGTGGTGTTCCTGGTAGCACGGGGACGCAACCTGGCAGAGACTACTGTCAGTCTACGAACTTCATTATCCACTGAAACTTGATCCCTTACTTCGTCTTGCCAATGATCATCGCCGTACACCAGAAGTTCACGGCGAGGGAGACAGTCGCAGAGATGATCATGAGACCATACAAAGCAGCGACGATCCATGATGCTGCAGGAGCAACGGTGTCAGAGCGGCGTGATAGATTGCAGGTGCGGTCGATATGGTACTGACCGAGAGTAGCGATGGACATCACGATACCAACGCCAAGCACCCACTTGCGGCGCTCCCAGATGACCCACGTATGCCTTTACCTATCGTGAGCTTCTGTGAGACAGGTAATGGTCTGAATCAGACTCACCAGAGAACAATCGTTTGTCCAATCACGACCTAGGATAGCAAGTCAGACCGTGATTCCAAGAACCGAGCTCAAGCGTCCGCTCACATTGACGGTGAAAGCAACCGCCTGGATGACGTTGAAAGCGAAGGCCGAGTCCCAGGAGAAGAAGCCCGACTCATCGAAGTTGCCTAAGGCTGAAGTCGCGATGTAGTAGACGTTGTACATCATTCCACCCAAGAGCGCGGTGGCCATGAGGAACATCAGCACGACCGATGCCAGCAGAGTGTTCTTGGTCCTTGCGTGCAGACCACTGCCACTGTGTAGAGCGTCAGATGAAGATGCTCAACGGTAGAGCCCATTGGCCCAGAGCGACTCACCTTAGCTGATAGACAGCCACGGCAGATGCGACTATCAGGAAGCTATAGATGCTGGCCATGAGCATGGCGCCATAGGACACCTTAAATTGCGCCTGCTGCTGATCAAGTAGCTCCCAGTCACGAAAGCATCGATCAAAAGTAGGGTCGGACATGGTAAATTTGAAAGCGGGGGACAGGCACGAGGTAGTAACGCCGCTCAGAGCCAGGGATCTTATAAAGGTCAGTGTAACGAAGCGAGGCCGTGCATCTGATGCTCCATACCCGGTAAGCCTCGTGGGTACTGGTTCACGGGCATGCATATGCCTCAATGCAATACAATCACAGACAACGAAGACGCGGATACAATGGGGCTGTGTCGATTTCGGGATGACGAACCCGCTGATATTGGGGTGCCAGCTGAGGCCAAGCCCGTCTTGAGCACTGACAGCTCCGACGATGTGTCGTTGTACCTGTGCACGAAGAACATGCAGCGTACAGAGAACGCATGGGAGGGCCTGCCAGAGGTATCCCGGGAAAGGCGCCAGAAGTCAGCAGGTTTTCAGAAGGTGTCACCACGACGGGCTTCAACGACCGCTCATGAACAATACTGGCAAAGGACCTGCTTTGCAAAACATTTTTCATAACTGTACAGCCCCTTCAAACACCCCGCTAACCCCCGATATTTTTGCATAGTCCTCAAGAATACACAATCGGTCTCATGATCCTAGAGTATCAAATATTTTCAAGGACTGCTAATAGCCGTACTAGCTATTGCAAGACAACGTCTCGATTTTGCATCGAAGTGACCTCCTGAAACGTGACCTCCACGTGGGCTGCCCGACCCTTGCAGCGCTGTAAACACCTCACAAGAACCTCTTTGGTGCATAAAAACTCAACAGGCTCAGTCTTACGAGTATATTCTACCCCTGCTAAAAGTTTCGACGTTTTTTGGCCGGTGCATGGGATTGGGATTCGTGTTGCAAGCCGGCATCGGTTCGGCGAGCTGATCCGCGTCAAAATGCGCTCCCACGGGCCTCTGAAAGCCACTATTCCGTTTCTACTGGTACACTGATCGGCCTAATATGTGTACTACCTACGATAGAGGACTCTCACTGCACGGGCGCACCTCCTGCATTTTTCTTGAAGAGGAGCGGCGGAGAACTGAAGAGTGAATCGCAGTTTTGCAACAAGGGTTGCGTTTGCAAAGCCGGGTCATTGGGAGTATCGCACGAAAGCGATGTCATGATGTTTCCAAGCATGATTGATAGTGTGCTTACACGCACAGCTGGTGATACGGAAGGAACGCGTGCAGGTGCCCAGGCTACGAGCTTGTGCGATTGGTAGTACTTAGAGGTACTCTGAACGCCTCAACTCCGTCCTCTGGTCTATCCGCTCGACTGTCTCACCCACCAGCCATTCATATCGTATCCTTGAAAAATATGCCACCATCTTCATCCTCAATTGGCACCTTCTTCCCCTCAGATCCAGCAACGCTCGTTCTTCATATGCCCAACCTTCACATCACCCCACGCCAACTAGACTTTCATAGATCTCAGACGACCCCGTGTGAGCATCAAGCCTCCTCATCCTCATCTATATCATCATCCACCTCTGCCTCTACCACCTCGAAGTATCCTTCCTCGTCCTCGCGGCCCAAAGCCGCGTCCTCGGGGGCCGAACCCACCCCTAGGCGTAAACCCTCCTCTCGACCCATGGCCACGAAGATACGGATTTGACGCCGCTCCCTGGGATCCACGGTCGGAAGTGTATGACGCTGGAGACGTAGGAGACGTAGGAGAGCCCCCATCGATGGCCATATCTCCGCGTTCGGTCATACGTGTTGCAGTAGACCTTCCGTTCAGAGCTGTGGCACCCGTCTTCCCGTCCTTCGAAGTCCCGCTCCCGTTCGGAATCGGGGCTTTCGCATGGTTCTGGGGCGGTGATATGAGCGCCGGATTGAGCTTGAGACCCGCCAATCCGCTCCCAAGTGCAGGTGCGGGAGTATCCTTTGTCGTCGCTTGCTGCTTGGTCGGTGGTGAAGAGGCCGATACGGAAGTTTGTGGAGGCAAAGGGTTGGATTGGGCAACAGGCGATGCAAAGGAGACAGAGTGGCTGTGGCGGCCGGTATGCCCGGAAGATTTGGCGCCGCGACCGAAGCGAATAGAAGTCGGTACGAGAGATAGTGAAGACATAGTATCGGCAAGATTATCAAGAGCATCGGTGTTGCTGCTCTGCTGTTGCGTCGTAGAGTGAATAGATTGTGATGAAGTTGGGGGAGCCTTGATTGTGGACTGCGGTCTTTGTGGTTGAGGTGTGGGCAACGGGCGCGAGGCAGATGTAGACGGTGTAGACATGTGCGGTGGCGCTTGTCGGCCATTCGCTTCCTGCGTGTGTATCGCTCTTGTATCCTGGGGATCGTCTTCCTCCATCGCGTCCTCTTCGTCGCTGCTTCCGCTCTCTGCGGGATCACGGGGTTTCCAATCCCCGCGCACCATACTCGCTCCCTCTCCCCACCGCCGCAACATCTCCCCCATACCATAATTCGTGATGGCAAAGAAGTATTGGCGTGGATACCCGTGCGCGCTGATTAGATGGTTTCGCCTATTCTTTGGGGTACGGAAATATTTGGGACAAGTAGCGAGGTGGCACGCGAACTGTAACCCTGGTCAACTACAGATAGACGAGGAATACGAGTGTCGAGGATCTTACAATCTTCTCTCCGCGCTCTTTTCTGACATCAGCTAGAGGGTCGTGGCATTCCGTCAGATGCTGCGATGCTGGGCTCAGTACCGAAGATAGCAAGATCTGAGACATGCACGATCACTCACAAGCTCGAGTAGTCGTGCCTCGGGGAATATACATTCGCAGCCAGGCGCACTGCATACGTGTGCATGGAACTTCGCATAATGGGCTTCTAGCTCCTTGGTGCCCTGCAGCCGAGTGCCACCATTGCGGGAGCAGGTCGGCGGAAGCGAGCAGACGAGTTCACGTGCATCCGACACTATCCGCGCTGATTTGTGGCTGGGAGATGCAGAGGGACTCGAAGGAGACGCTGGCGAGGCCGAACGCTTGTTGGCCATAGGAAGATAGTCGTGGTTAGGAGAAAGGACGGAGGAAGGCGCATGATGGCGAGAGGGAAGCTTTGATCGGCGCACCGCGGTCAGAGTTTGCGTTTGTGGCCTTGCCTCTTTCAACCATGATCTTGTCCAGTACCGGCACAAAGCCTCGCCTCATATGATGGTGAGCGCCAGAGCCGCATCACATGCTCCAGTATGACTCTGAGTGACTTTATTTGGCATTTAGTACAATGCCGTGCTCTGATTTGTCGCTCATAACATTATGATTTTCGCGCTATCGTCAAGCTAGACCTTGTTAAACCCCGTGTCTAGGCTGTCAATGCATGACGTTGGAGCTCCTTCTTATCATTATCACATATGGGTATCACCGGACTATCTTAGCTACACGTGGTGTAGGACTTCGAACGAGGGTCGGCTTTCGACGGTTCTCGAGTTCCTTACGCGTCACTTTTATATTATGCTGCGTTCTGGCTAGTGACACCGCAAGGCCCCTAACTCGATCTCTATGAGTACTGTATGTTGGTGACTGTCTGAGTGACACCCTGGTCTAATGCACAACCAAAAGTATCTAGAGCCAACTTGTGCAGGAGGAACGGCCGTCTCCCCGCTTCGCACAAACCAGCTCTAGATATCAACTCGGGTAGGAGTTGAACCCACTCCAACATACATGCTCTGGATGAGAGTATGGAGTCGTGCCCCTTGCACTACCGAGCCTGTCCTTGAGTAATGAGGACACAATGAAGATATCTCACCTTAAGGGAGTGCAAAACCTATGATAGTTTGACATGAAACTCCTTCCAGTATGGCCTGTTAGCTCAGCTGGTTAGAGCGTCGTGCTAATAACGCGAAGGTCTTGGGTTCGATCCCCACACGGGCCATTAGACTGAATACGAAGATAATTTTGTCCTCCTTGCGTGCGTGGTCATCTTATAGGATTTGTGACTGTGCCATAGATGGAGTTTTGCGGGAAGACCTCGCAATAGTACCAGGTTCTACATATGTATTGTAACTGCAGTACTTATTCTGACTTAAACTTATCACCAATGTATCCCTGCAATACCGAGTGCCTCGATGCACGAGCCTATACACACGATGAACCCAGAAATCTGGCAATGGGCCAGAGACTGCTTGAGCTCGGTATAGCCTTAATCATAAGTACAACAAGCAAGCAATATATACAGTCAAATGAGCGTGAAGTCTGGCTCTCACCCGATCATCAGGCGAGCAGAGTTGAATACATTTGAATACATAAGTGTCCTCGGCTACTTATGCGACGTCCACCACATCTGTATTCGCCTTGGGCTCGGCTTCCCCCACAAGCGGTTCCAGTGTCGAAGAATCGACATCTCCAACCGTGCACGACTGAATGCTCGAAAGCTTCTCGTCGTGAGGTGCAATCTTGTAACGAGTGACGAGTATGACGACTACCATGGGATAGAAGGCCTGGCGGCAATCTTTCAGCGTCTATGCAGCTGGTACGGGTGGAGATGCGCTCACCACAAGAACGAGCAACACGATATAGATGAAGTCTAGGGCAGTCCGGCTCATATTGGTGACGGAGTATGCGTCGAGCCAGCACAAGATGCCGTATGTCAGCTGGTTGAACGCATGAGTAGGGTGCCACACTCTTTATATAGAGCCAGAACGTACCCAGACGAGCATATACAGGAGGCCAGAGTCCACGAACACTATGTATACGCCTTGAAGTGCGACATATCGCGGCGCGGCGTTGTGTCGATGCAGGATCCGACGATGTCGCCTACGTGAGCGTGGTGAGATACGAAGGAGAAGACGGCCAGAAACCTTATGTACCAGTGCTTGAATGCGATAAGACCCGTGGTCCATGCAACGGTCAGAAACGAAAAGACTGTCGGCCACTGGTCGTCTCCTGTGAAGGCATCCACGATCCACGCTCCTATACGTCATTCGTCAGTCACGGCGTCGAGAATGGATAGACAAAGCTCGCACTCACCAGTAGTGGCAATCAGCAAGATGACGGAACCGTAGACCACCGGTCTGTGCCACCCCCAAACAGTGATTGTGCGCCTGCTCGATGTGAGATCACCGAGAACTCGATCATCCAGTGATGCTCACTCAAGTAGAATGATGTCCCCGAGAACGATCTAATGACTCGTCAGCTACTGAAGCATCCATACAGCTAAGTTGATCACATTGGCTGCGAACATGGCGTTTGACGGAGGCATGTATGATGAGGCCCCTTCAGCTCCCAGAAGAAGATGGACCAGATTTCTTGTCCACAGGAGTTGGAGGATGTAGTACACCAGTGTGCAACCCAACATGGTGGTAATGGCCACGAGATAAAACCTGGTCCTCCACGATCCGAGACCGTTCTTTCTGCTGGATGGATAGGTATCGAACTCTCTGACCGTAGAAGATAGTAAGATGGGTTGCACTCACATCAGACATCGCACGGCAAGGACATATGCATAGATGAGCCACGCTGCGTATTGCGTGAGCGATTGAACCTACAGAGCTTCGAGAAGGAGGGTCCGCTCACCAAGAAGGAAAGTAAATAAAAGATCCTGTCCACCGACGGAAGCCAGAAGAACGACGTTGGACTTGTACACTGCATCCTATTCGGCATTGTCAGTTGCACCGTACAGATACAGAATGAGTCATCTCACTGGGCTGAAATCGGAGCTATCAGGGTCCATATGCATCTCGTGGGATCACGCGGAAGAAATACAAGCGCCTGTGGCTGCTCGGGGCACCAGGGGCATCCACCCTTCCACCATCACGACCGAATGCCCTTATATGCGCGCGCCCAGGCGCGACCTTCAACCCCATGGGAAGAGCGGCGCAACCACTACACAGTCTCTTGATAGAACTCGGGAAGGCGCGCAGCCACAGATGTCAGGCGTGTTCGTTGAGGTGCGCCCCAGGCGCGGCTAGGAAAGTGGTGGACATGAGACGGCCGGGACGCCCGAGTTTCGCCTTGGTTCAGGTAAAATGTCGTTGTGCTTTTTGGACAAAGCTCGCGTTAATAAGACCATCCTCATAGGTAGCCCGGTTCCAAAGCGCCAACAACGGAGGTCAACGAGAACAGGGCTATATATTGACGGTGCAAGATGATGGGCGGTTCTTAGCCATGTCGAGCTCACGCGCGCGGCCAGTAAGATCGTGAATTGGAATGTTCCGCGTGCCGCGTTCCGTTCCGTGTTCCGATATACATTTCGCGTGCCGTTTCGCCTTTTTCGCGTCCCGTCTCACCTTGACGTTCCGTCACAAAATATGACAGGCAGCGACAGCGTGTCACACATTCCATCGATCTAGACATATTTCCCCAAATATAAGGCTCCTGTTCAGCGCTGTGGGCATAAATACAAACTCACGTCCACTCTGCTAAGGCGACAGCTCACCTGGGTTTTTACATCTCCAATTCAAAGGACTGTCATGCATTAAATATGCCTATACATGCGGGCAGATCGACGGGTGCACGTTTGCGCCCTGGCTGTCATTTATACTGGCAAGAGCACCGCACCTTCCCTTCTTTGGA